TCAAGTGTAGCATTTCGGTAATATCTTTCACGCCGTAGCATTTAGGTATTTTATTTCACTGTTCATAGCATTTTGGTAAAAATCCCTCTTTCTATTCTATAAATAGTACCAGATGTATTTATTTACAGATAATGCTGCCGTGTTCTCACACTCCACAATATACAACACCTCTCATTAATAGGCCCACTCCTTTTTAAATGCTCATTATTTCTGTTTTTTCAACAGGTCTTGAAATTGTTGTAAAGAATTTATATGTATGGTATGAAAGTTAGAATTTTTTTTTTTAATGTTCTTGCCCTTCACAAGAGAAAGCAATATTGATATTAATATAATATATAAAATTCATTTAAAGTTATAGTATCTAAAAAATTATAAATGGTAAACAGAAATATTAATTACAAACTAAAAGTTATATGTAGAACTCAAATGTCTTATTTGCAATGAAAACTCTTAAGTATTTAATTATTCAATTGGTTCTTTTTCATAAGAGACAAATTAACTGAATCATGTTAATTACAAAATTGATTAAAATTAATTGAAAACAGTGAGAAATTAACCCCAAAAAAAAAATGGAGACAATCTGAAAATATCTCTCATGAATAGAGACAAGCCATGATTGCGACTAATTTTTCAAAATACAATTGTGGAAAACTTAATTAACATTAATTCACTCTTTTTTCTTTTTTTCCGGCCAACAACGTTAATTCAGTCTTTTAAAACCATATGACTATTGTTATTCATTTCCTTTCATACTATACACCCACACTCCCTTCCCTTCCCTTGTTTCATTGTACCTGTCATTTAAGACTTTTTGCATACAAATTAAGAAATGCAGTAAATATAAGATATTATCGCAAAAATTGCCCCTCATTCAATGCCTCTAAAAATATCACTACCTGTTGTCTTTAAGATAAGATCTTATTTGATTTTTATTTTGATCTTAAATATAAGATTCTAATCCACTTCATCTCTCATATTTATATATTTTTTTCTAAGATAGTCCTTCTAATAATAGTAATCTAAACAATACACTTAATTAGTAAGGATGTTTTACAAAAGACACTACCTATTTATTACAAATAACTAACTTAACTTCTTTCCTTTATTTTTTCAAATTAGTCAACTAACTCTTATAATTAGGATCGGAGGTAATACAATAATAATAGGGCACCGAATGGGGACCCTTCTTCCACTCCTTCCTTCGTTCCCTTTCTTCCTTCAGCCCCCATGTGTTTCTTTTCTTCCCTTCTTTTTTCTTTTTGTGTTTTTCTTCTCATTCTCTTTAATTTTCCTCTAATTTTTATTTATATATCAATATACATTTTCCTAAATTCTCACTTTCCTTTTCTGTCTTTTCCTCACGTAAAAGTAATTTCTCAATTTGTTAAAAAGTGATAGTGCATCTAGTACCCTGAAATATTTTTTCAAATACATTCAACATTTCAAAATATTTTGTGATGCATTCAACACTTTGAGATATTTTTTAAGTGCGTTTAGCACCTTGAAATATTCTTTTGTCTTGGTATTGAATGCACCAAAAAAATATTGTTAGATACTAGACACATCTAAAAAGAATACTTTGGGATGCATTTAACATCCTAAAATATTTTGAAGGTACTAAATACACTCAAGAAAATATTTTAAAGTGCTTAATGCACCTTAACTCTCCAGTGAACGTGGGGTTTATTCATCCAAAACAGACACCTAAGCATGCACACTATATGAATATGTTGACTTTGATGGCTTATAATTATAATTAAGGAATGGAATTATTAGTATTAACTGGATTTACGGCAAATGAATCAATTTCTCCTGAACAACGTTGATGATTCAAACTTTATGGATTAAAAAGATACTCTGTGAGAGCTACTCTCAATTGAACTTGATATGATTCAAGCTTATCATGATAATACTATATATCAAATAAACATATAGAAAGGGAAAATTAATCTTAAATAACTTGTTGGAGAATTAATTACCCAATGACCCTTTAAATTTGAAAACTTTACGAGATAAAAACATATAATGATGAATTCAAGGCCGGTGAACAATTAATTCTCTAACCAGCCATATACAGGCAATTTTTCTTTAAAAAAATTGGATTTGTCTAAAAATTTCAAGACCCAGTGTCTTAACATTCTAAATTAAGGTATGGTGTAAAATTTACAATAAATCTGAAAATTGTATGAAATTTGCGAGGAAAACATTTTATCATAGAGCAAAAATTCTGTGACATGTTTATTGTAAAATCCATTATGAATTTCATTTGCAACAATTTTTTCCTTTTCGTCTGTTGAAAATCTAATGAAAAAACTCCAATAGAGTTTCTTCTTAATTAGTATTTGGCATTGTCCCAAGAAAAAATGACAGAAAAATAATTCATAAATTTCAAAATTTCGAAATGATCACTTAAATAAGTAGAATTTCAGTTTAGATATAATTGACTAAATTGGAATATGTAAATTTGCTAAAATAATAATATTGCCCTTTAAAAAAAAAAATACCAAGCACGGCCAGTAATTGTTTTTTGAGGATTTTTACAATTATAGTAATAAGGTTAACAAGTTCTTTAACGCTGCTAACAAGTTCAACATATAATAGTTAACAACAGGTTTTTTTTTTAAAAAAAATAAAAAAGTGACATCTTTAAAACTTTAATAATGTGGTTAACAAGTTCTGTAATGCTATTAACAAGTTGATATAGTAGTTAATAATAAGTTTTTCAAGAAATTCAAAAAGTGGTATTTTTACAACTTTAATAATGTGGTTAACAAGTTCTTTAACGCTATTAATAAGTTCGATGTAGGAGTTAATAAGAGATTTTTTAGGAAATTCAAAAAGTGACATGTTTGCAACTTCAGTAATACAATAAGTCATGTAGCGATATTAACAAGTCTCGTAGTGCCATTAACAAAATTTCCCTACGAAAGTTAATGTTTTTAATATTAGCTCCTTATGAAAATTGTACATCAAAATTTTTTTTCATTTATTAGGCCATCACTATTATTATGAGAGTTGTTAATATTATTATATGACTTGTTATTAGAATTGTTAATGGTATTACGAGAATTGTTAATATCATTATATAACTTGTTAACCGAACTAATGAAGCTGTAAAAATATTACTTTTTGAATTTCTTAGAAAATTTGTTACTAACTGATATATCAAATTTGTTAGTAGCATTATAAAATTTGTTAACTTTGTTACTGAAATTGTAAAAGCGTCACTTTTTGATTTTTTTTTTAAACTTGTTTTTAACAGTTATACCGATCTTGTTAATAGCATTAAAAAAATCTATTAACCACGTTACTGAATTTATAAAAAAATTCAAAAAAAGAAAGTTGGTCCACCTAGATTTTGGCAACTGTCACTATCATCGGTGCTCTGGTGACTAGCTGGCAGGTGAGGATGCTTGGTTTCTATTAAAAAAAATAAATGACCATATAATTATTTTAATATATTTGCTTATTTAAATGATCATTTAGGAATTTTGAAATTTAGGAATTTTTTTTTTGTCTACAATCATTTCTTTTTTTAAAATTATTGTTACCATTATAATCTGGTGCTAACAAGTAGCCGTTAAAATAAGAACAAGAGAAAAAGGAGAGGTGTGTCCGTCACGTGCGGAGTCAAACAAGTTGTCTCTGTTTATTTTCAACTGAACCGAACCCAAAGCCCCAAGCGGCGCGTGTTTTGTGCGTCTTCTTGTGGTGGCTTCTGATCCTTTTCATGTCACACGGTCATATTTCTTTCAATTATTTGCCTTTCGCTCGGCCACCTATTTATTTCCCCACATGCTCCTTCTTTTTCCTTTAATTTTAATTTAAATTCTTTCCAATATTTTAAAAAAATAGTAAATCCATGCCACTTGTTTGGTTATAAGAACATCTCCAAAAGGCTAAAGGTAGGAGGTCATTTTGAATTTAAAAGTTAAAAAAAAAATGAATGACCTTATATTATTTGAAAAGGAAAAAAACAGTATTGTTTGGCTGATTTCATTGATTAATATCGAGGTCTTCCGAATCTCCATATACGTGATCCTGTGTAAATTATTAGTAAACTCTGATGTGATCATATAATAAGCCAAGTGGTTATTATTAATTTATTATCATACCATTGTTTGGTTATAATAATAATCCAAATCGTTGAGATCTTACAAATGCAATTTGTCGTATGGTTTTTTTTAAAAAAAAATTAATCAATATGAAATAAAATGATATTTTAGATATTTAATTTGTATTAAAAAATTTAAATGTATGAAGATCTTTTCCTCGCTAAATGTCCGGAGACAAGACGAGATGAAGGCATATTTGACCAGAATAAAATATACATGATCATAGTGATTTTAGTATATCAAATTCTATTTTAGAATCAATCAATATCAGATGACGTTATATTTTAGAAATTAAAGCAAGATTTAAGAATTGATGCGATTTACAAGCAAGATTGATGGGAGCAGGAAAAAGATAAAGATAGAAGGATACGTGCGAATTGAGAATATTGATGGGAAAAGTTCCTCATAAATTTAATCAAAATTCTCACTCTAAATTATTCTTATTGTCTGATTAAAAATCTAAAAATATTCTACTATTTTTCCCCAGTAGAAAAGATGGCATAAGAAAACATTTGTAAAATGACATAGTGAGATACATTAGCACAAATTGTTCAAAACAAAACTTAAAACAAAGCATCTCGCCTGTTTATATTCTATTTATAACGTTATTTCTAATATGTTTTTTGGGAATCAAGAAAAATCTTAAATTTTACTACCTCTGGTCCTTAATATAAGACCATGTTTGACTTTTATTTTGGCATTAAATATAAGACCCCAATTCACTTTTTCTCTCATATTTATACATTTTTTTTCAAAGTAACTCTTCTAACAATGATAGTTTTCGTCAATACACTTGATTAGTAAAGATATTTTAGGAAAGACAACACCTATTTAAAACAAATAACTAACTCAAGTTACTTCCTTAATCTCCTCAAATTAGTCAACTGACTCTTATAATTAGGACCGGAGGTAGTATTAACTTTATTTTAAAATTTAACTATAAACTTTTCAAGAAAAATCTACACAATAATAAGTTAATACTACCTCCAGTTCTTAATATAAAACCTCATTTGACTTTTATTTTAATTCTAAATATAAGATCCAGTTCACTTTGTCTCTTATATTTGTACAATTTTTTCTAACACAATCTTTCTCATAATAATAGTTGTAACTAATACACTTGATTAGTAAGGATATTTTAGGAAAGGTAATAACTGTTTATTACAAATAACTAATTTAATTTATTTTCTTAATTTTTTTAAATTAGTCAACTAACTCTTACAATTAGGACAAGAGGTAGTAGTAAAATAATACATGCATATTAAAAATTTAATTATATGATTTATAAATAAGGAAAAACCTCATGTCTTCGTCCAATAAATATGACTAAGGAAGCAATTTTTTAAATTTCCAAATAAAGAGTTTCAATTGGAGCTTTTCAAAAATTGTTCAGTATGCATCCCTTTTAAAAGGATACATCCTTGTGTCCAAAGATTAAGCCCTTGCTTTTTTGGAATGCCTCGTGTTCCTATCATTTGCATCACTGAAAAGGAGGAGAAAAGAAAAGGTAAAGGAAAAACAAAGTTCTCAAATTCGAAGCATGACATTGTGAAAATTATATATTATAAAAAAAGATAATTAAATCTACTACAGTTACTAGTGTAAATCATAGGAGCTCTCGTCTATAAATAAGTGATTAAAGTCTGATTCTCACTATTTTCATATGAAGCAAAATTAGATGAGATATCAATATTTCAAGAGAGATTTCTCCTAAGTCAACAAATATTATTTCTTGTTTTCGTATGGTCAATAGAAAATAATAACAGATATAAGTAACTTGATCTAAATGTTTTCCTTCATAATATACTATGTTTTATGTGGACTGTGAAGTATTTCTAGTTAATCCTAACACTTCCTAACTAATTAACCTCTTCTGATGGATGCTTTTCTGCTTTTTATTAAAAGTAATTTTGATGTTTTACCAAAAAAAAACTAATTTTATGAACTCATGTAAAACTATTATTACGTACTTATAATATAACTTCTTTTTTTTTGCCCGGGACGTACTTATAATAATACTGGAGGAAGTAAGATGCAATAATTAGGAAAACGTGGGAGACATTCATGTACCAAGGAAAGCTTTATACTGAGATTGGCATGTTTTGTGGTGCATTTACGTACAATTACGATCTGTGCATTTGTACCTAAAAGTAGGGATTACTTAAGAGTTAATCTTTCTTTTTTGAAAAATAGTAACAAAGATCTTAATTTAATGATGAAGATTATGAAGAGAAAAGCCAAAAAGATGAGAAGTTTTTGTACTGTGGATCTGAGTTCCATGAGGCCCTCAAATTCTGCGATTTTGTCACATTTTGCAAAGTAAGTTCTGATCCAATTTTGCTAACCAAAAAGCCAGCACTTAACTCTTTACTAAAAGGACCATAATCCCTCTTAATCTTATGCCAAAGCTTTGCATCTATATCCAATTTAAACAGGGCAGATATACTTTTTCTAAAGTATAATATTCCAACTTTTGTAGAATCTAATTGAGATTGTGTGATTCTTTTCTATTTTTCATAAGATATACAAATAATCTCTAATATAAAAAAAGATACTGTAAAATTTATTTTCATTTTTTAAAGTTTTTGTAACCAATATATCGTACATTAAAGCATATTAGACTTTGATCAGTTTAGATTCAAGTCAGGTTGGAGCCAAAATAAAGATAATTTTAAACTAAGTCAAACCACAAATAGAAGTAATTTTGTCAAAAATATTTTCTATTTTCGTATAAATTTAAACACGAGATCTTATGTTTAAACAATCATAATTATTTTTATTGGGATCGATATGTGATTATAAAGTTTTTTTCCCCTTCTTTAACGAAAATAAAGCCATCTATGATGTGCATTAAAATATGCGCCTGCCTTCAACTTCAATAGGACAACATGGGATGATAGACTAGGGCTTACTTAAGGCACTTTAAGTTCTTGTGAAGAAGAAGGGAAGAATAAAGTGAAAAACAACCCTTTATTTCTTTTTCATGGTGAAAAACACTTTCTTTCTTTGTTTTTAAAAAATTATTCTCATACCAAGCTTTGCTTTGCTTGATTCCATACTTGAATATTTTATGAGAATTCTTACATCGTAAGGCATATTAATATCTTTTAAATCAGATACATCTCAGAATTTGAAGTTATATATAACACTATTGTTTGGTGATGACTAAACGTGTTACCCTTTTTGTTAATTTGAAACTTACGTACAACTCTAAGGCATTTGTTATAAATGAAAAAAAAAGGATAATAAAAAACATTTAATTTTTTTATCTTTTTAATTGTTTAAATATCCCAAGTTTATTTTCTATCCGCATGTCCCTTCCTCTCGTGTTTAAATATGACAGTATAACTTAATTCAAAAGGCATATTAGAGTATTGTCCCAAAAAAGGCATGTTAAAGTAACAAAGTCGGACTTGATTCTACATTTAATCATCCTTTAGCTTTCTTTTTGGTTCATATAGAAATGATTAGATTAATGATTCCATTTTTAATTATTTTTTATGCCCGGGCTTAATTTTCTTCCAAGGGATAAGTTTCATCCGATCCCCTCAACTTTAAACTAGGCCGATAAATTTTAAAATTTTCAGAATTTGACAATGGACACCCATAATGAATTAATCGATAATAATAGAATATCTTCCTCTATAAGCAAAAAATATATTATCACAAATATTATATTTTTCATGCATAAGTTATAACCAAAAAAATTTATAGACAACTCTCAAAAATTAAAAAGTTGTTTGCATATCTTTGTCTTTACTTTATCTTTTTCCCCGCAAAAACCAAAAGGTTAAGCATAAGAATTCTGGCTAGTTTGGAGGGAGGAAAACTCAAACATACGCGCGTTAGTCTTAAAAGAAGTGTTTTTTTTTTATGAAACATCAGGGTATCCATCGGCGGACCTGGTAACTAATCTCTCCGCTGGCTTGTAGGGACCTCGATGGGTGGGATAGCTGGTCCGGGGTTTTAAAGTTTTTCCATACCCAAAACAAGGATCGAACCCTCGACACTTGGTTAAGGGAGGATGAGCCCCCTGCTCAACCACACGCCCCAGGTTTAAAAAAAAAAAAATTTAAAAGAAGTGTATTTATTAATGAGATCAGGTCTAATAGAGAGAGTTGATTTCTGTTTGAAGAAATGTCCACGTTTAGTATACCTATGTCTAGCCTGAAAAAAATGGACTCACGTGAAATAATTGACAAGTATCCTGTTTCGTGGGCTTACTTAATAATCAAAACTTGAAAGCGGGGCAATCATTACAGGAAGATCAAACTGAAGAAGCATATAAACGTAAGCAATTGACCAATTAAGTTAGCATAGAAGAGAGATTAATTAATAATCATAATAAGTTAAATTAATCTGGGTATGAGTGAGGATGAATAAATTGATGGATAATGATGGCAGTGGACCATAAGTCACATGCCTCAAACGAAAAAGGAATGGAAAGATGTGTGATTGCTTTATGTTGTGTATGTAAGTCTCGAGGAGAATTTACATTACATTATATACATATATATATATGTATATATATAGGAAGAGCATGTGAATGCACTTTAGTTTGATGTGAGAGCAAAAGAGCGATGATAGTACTTTAATTGGGAGCGTCAATCATTTCTGCCCATGATTCAACAAGGAATGAAATTTCCTTAACTAATGATCCAAGATAGGTAAATGATTAATATTACGTTCGGTTTGGGAAGAAATCATCAAACAAATCATTTAATTTTTCTTAATTAAATACCCTTTGCAAGGATGGTTTCGTTCATGGATAAGGATGAGCAAAACAGGAATTTTCAGGGTAAAAATACTGTTAAATGAGCTAACTTCATATTCGTCCAATTACATAAAAGTTGCTTTGTTTATGGTTAAGTTTTGGTTCCCGACTCAAATGTTAGGTCTAAATGATTCGAAATGATAACTAAATTATATACACAATTCAAGCCTCACGAAACGCGTCGTAAAAACTTCCATTGAATAATCAAACTGTTCGGTTTAGCTGAACTTTCAAATCATTACATATGTGTGTGTGTTTTAGTTTCCATGCATTTGCATATTTTTCAGTTCAACTTTGTATTAATATAAATTCTTTCATTTTTAACTCATGCTTGTCAAGGATAGGCCGTGCATTAGTTTGTTTCCAGAGATATTATTTTAGCCACGAAAAAGGAATTAGATTTAAACATGAGGCTTCAGCACATACTTCATTATCGTTCCTCCAAGTCTTATCAATAGATTAATCGTTAAAGTGTCCCCTTTTTTCAAAAGAGGGGAAAAAAGTTAATTTGTCGGGGGCAAGTCGTGAGCTCTTGGGCAGGAGATGTGAAATCATTATATCAATGTGGAATCATTATTCTTTCTTAGCTTGGATTTATTGTTGTAAGGCAGGGGAATTAAACCCAAGGAAGCTGGAAATTAACTTGAAGTTCATCAGTAACTAACGTCAGTTTAACGTTTTAGATTAGAGAATAACAACCTATCTTCTTGACTACCAAGTCATAAAGTTGCACTCTTTTGATGATGAAGACCATCAATCCCTCCTTCCTGGAAATTGCATGGCATCCACATACGTGCCTACTCGTTAATTAGCCTCACTTTTTGACTCAAAGTCATAAAGTGGCACACTTTTGACTAAAGAATTAATTACATCCTTCAAGGAAATTACTAAGCCTATCAAAACATAACCGCGTAGCCTGTTTCTTCTTCCACTCATCTGCATCTTCTGATACTCCGTCTCTGATTCATTTCCAAAAAGTTCTCAATACTACACAGTGCTCTCCCTGCTGCTCAATCAGATAGAGATATGGCCCTTCTTGCTGCTTCATCCTCTTCCTCTGCTCAATCCGTCCCCAAGAAGAATGATGTTTTCATCAGCTTTAGGGGTGAGGACACTCGCTCCAACTTCACCAGCCATCTTTATGATGCTTTCTGCAGAAAACAAATCAGAACCTACATAGACTACCAACTCGTGAAAGGAGATGAGATCTCACCATCACTTCTGCAAGCTATCGAGGATTCATATGTATCAGTGGTGGTGTTATCTGAAAATTATGCTTCTTCAAGATGGTGCTTGGATGAACTCATCCATATACTCCATTGCAAAAGAGTTCAAGGACAGATTGTTATTCCTGTCTTCTATAAAGTCGACCCATCTCATGTACGCAAGCAGACTGGCCTTTACAAGCAAGCATTTGAGAGATATGAGGGAGATCTCAAGGTTGACCACCACAAGATGCAAATGTGGAAGCAAGCTCTTAATGAAACTGCAAACTTAGCTGGTTATGACTCTCACACATTTAGGTAATTAATAAATTCATTAATTTTCTTCTATTTACAAATGATGGCGTTTGTAGAGATTTACGTGATGGATCAAATGATTAAGACATTCTATTCAATTTTTGGTAAACATTTTGAGGTCTTTATCATTTGTCATTTATATTTATACACTTTATACAATTTTTTCTCTGTTTACTTATCACTTATCATTTGTCTTTAATAAATCAGTTTTTTCTGCTTAATTGCACTTTTCCTTTTTTGCCTTTTATTTTTCTTATGTTAGGGATGAATCCGAATTGATTCAAAAGATTGCCAAAGACATACTGCAGAAACTGAATCACAAGTACCCCCCAGCTGAAATAAAAGGACTCATAGGCATTGAGGACAACTGCGCAGAGATTGAATTATTGTTGAAAGATGCCAAAACAAAAACCATTGGAATATGGGGCATGGGGGGTATCGGCAAGTCAACCATTGCCAAAACTATATTTTTAAAATATTCTTCCCATTATGATTATTCTTGCTTCTTGGAAAATGTAAGAGGAAGGTCTAACAATGAACTTACTAAATTACGCGCTGAATTTTTCTCTTGTTTGCTAAGGGATGATTTCTCTCTCGATACTTCAACCTCTTTTCTTGCGTCAAGGCTTAGTCATACGAAGGTTTTTGTTGTTCTTGATGATATCAGTACGGTGGGGCAATTAGAAGATTTGGTTGGAGAACCTTTTTGCTTTGGGTTAGGAAGTAAAATTCTCATCACAACAAGGGACAAGCATGTGCTCAGCAAAGGAGTTGACGCAATATATGAGGTTAAGAAATTGGACTTCCATCAATCCCTTGAACTTTTCAGCTTGAATGCCTTCAGCACTAGCCTGCCTATAATGGGATATGAAGAACTAACAAAAACGGCAGTTTTTTATGCACAAGGAATTCCATTGGCTTTAAAAGTTTTGGGTTCATATCTTCGTGGTAAAAGTGAAGTTGAATGGAAGAGTTCTTTAAAAAAACTGAAGAAGAGTCCTCATAAAGAGATTCAAAATGTGTTGAGATTGAGTTATGATGAATTGGATGACAAGGAGAAAAACATACTTCTAGACATTGCTTGCTTTTTAAATGGAGAGTTGACGGAATTGGTAATCAATTTATTAGACAACTTTGGCTTCTATGGAGCTATCGGCATAAGAACACTCCATGACAAGGCCCTCATAAATGCGGGTGACGGTTTGCGTGTGGAAATGCATGATTTGATCCAAGAAATGGGTTTGCAAATAGCTCGTGAAGAGTCTACTGAAGAACCAGAAAGACGTAGACGTTTATGGGATTCAGAGGAAATTTATGATGTATTGACTAGTAATATGGTAAGAAATTCACACTTGCTTTTCTGACCTCTATACTTGTAACTTCATGAATAAGGTGAATGCAATTATGATATAGTTTACTTACTATGGTTTCTTTATTCTTTTTTTTTTTCCCCAAGGGATCAAAGAAAGTTGAAGCAATAAAGTTAGATGTTTCTCAAGTTAAAGATCTATATTTGAAAACTGACGTTTTTAGGAAGATGCCTAATATGAGATTTCTTAGATTTTATTCTTCTTCTTGGTGGTCTAGCTCAAGCCATGTGCACCTTCCAGAAGGTCTCAATTTTCTTCCTAATAAGATGAGGTATCTAGAGTGGCATGGATTCGCTCTTAAATCTCCGAGGTCCACTTTTTGTCCTGAAAAACTTGTTAAGCTGTACCTACCCTGTAGCCATTTGCAAAAGCTTTGGAACGGAGTGCAGGTATGTATAAAATTACTTGTGTTTCATGTTTTTCCTTGAATTGAAACTTGTTGGTGATCTCATTTGAACTGTCTATCTTTGTTGGTATAGGATTTGGTGAGCTTACAAGAGATAGACCTTAGTTGGTCTGTACAACTACAAGAGCTGCCAAATCTCTCCAAATGCTTGAATCTCAAAGTGGTACAACTTCGTGGATGCCGGAGTTTGTGCTCTGTTCATTCCTCAATCTTGTCTCTCCACTCGCTTGTTGAGTTGGACTTAAGTCGGTGCGTGAAACTTAGAAGTCTAAAAAATGAGTTACATTTAAGATCTCTACAACATATCTATGTGTTAGGGTGCTCGAATCTCAAGGAGTTCTCAGTGTCATCGGATGAACTGAGAGAATTGGATTTAATTGACACAGGAATTGAAACCTTGCGCTCGTCTGTAGCGCGTTCAAGTAAATTGGAACATCTCGGTTTTAGGGGCTCAAGACTTGTGAAACTTCCTGACCAATTATCTTGCTTGACAAGTTTGACGGTTCTTCATCTTCAAAACTGCGAAACCATTGATGATTTGAAGCTACATAACTTTTTTGATGGCATGTTGTCTTTAAAACACGTGGACCTGATTAAGTGCCGTAACATAACTGAACTACCTAATAATACTAAGCGTCTTTTAGGATTGGAATGGCTTAGAGTATGGAATTGTAGAAGGCTTCGTTCTTTACCAGAACTCCCACCATCCATTGACTGCCTAATTGCTCGTGGTTGCAAGTCGTTGGAAATTGTGTCAACTTGTAGACCATCAAGTGGTCGCCCGATATGCTTCTTTTTCGACAATTGTGTGCAACTGAATGAACAATCGTTTCACAATATCATGGAGGCTGCTGCCTATTCTATACCTTATTATTTATTGTATAAAAATAAGGATGACTGGCGTCGTTATAGGATTTGTGTTCCCGGTAGCAGAGTACCAGAGTGGATCAAATACTGGGCAGCACAAAGCTCCGTAACTGTTGAACTCTCTCAAATTTCAGGCTTAGCGGATTTCTTCTTCTGCATTGTACTTGATGTTCACTCAGAAATTAACTGTCTAGCTCAAGGTTTGATGTGCACATGCCACTCGGAAGGTTTTGATGTGACATATTCATTACTTGGCAATGTGGTTCTTCGAGATAGGAAATCTGATTATGTTTTTATATGGAATGGTGATGGTGACTTAACAAGTAAAAGGATAGTTGATGAAATTAGAAGAAGAAATCAACAGTCGTTCACTAACATAAAGCTTTGCTTTGAATTCTCTGCTGGACCTCGTTGGTCTCACGAGTCAATGACCGGTGAAAGCAAGTTAATGATCAAAGAATGCGGGGTGTGGCCAGTATATGTCTCAGAATGTCAGAAATTTGTTGAGCAAATGGAAATAGGGAGGAAAAGGAAGAGGCCTCACGATGTTGAAGAGCAACAACCACCGCCTCACTTAAAAAAAAAGGAGTTTGATGAGGGTACACATCCCAGCACTTAAGGTGGATATAATCTGAACTCCGTTCTTCATTCTTTAGGCAAGTAGTCTCCTCTCTCTCTCTCTCTCCGTGTGTGATTGTTTTATCTCCCTATTAGGCTCCTATTTCTGCATTTTCCTCATGAATGGTGTTTATATAAAGAAGGATTTGAAAATCTATTTTGAAAAAAAGAAAAAACTAATAAAGCAAGTGAGATTGTCTTTTATACAGTTAAGCTATTTTTTTTATACTTGAACAATCTGATTCTAATTAAACTAGGCTTTAACGTAAGATTCCTAAAATTTGTGGATTAGTTTAATTGAAGGAGACTAGTTAAAGTGTTTCACTGGCATTTTCAAAGGAATTTAAAATATGAAAGAAGAAGGAGAAGAAATAAGGAGAAATAGGTTAAAAATAAAGTATTATATAATTAAATAGGTTAGCCAGCTTTGGTCAAAGCACCATGTTACAACCGGCATCCATCAACATTGTCAGTGGCGTTAAAATTAGGGGAAGAAAATTGAACATAATTTAGGGTTTGAGGATATTTTTTGAAGCTTGCTTGTATAAGCTCACTGCTCCAGATGTTTTCTAATTGTTCTGTCTCTATCGGGTTTCTATTTTTGCATCTTATTTTTCTCCTGAATTAAGAACAAATATTTATCATTTAATTTGTTTGTCTATTGAGTTACATATGTTAAATGGTTTGAAATCACAAGCAGATAGAACCCACAACTTTCTACTTGTAAGAAAATATTTATGCCACTAGATTACAATGTGATTGACATTATTTTACTTATATGATATTAGGAGAATTGAACTATTTCTACATCAAGAACCTCATGCTCAGAAGCACCTTGTTTAGATTCCTCTTAAAGGTTTGCTTGTGCAACTTGTTAACGCATATTAAATTTTGACGTTAAAATTCATTCAGTGATTTTTATTTTTCTTTTTTTCTTCTATTGATGGAAGTGATTCTTGATTTTTTGAAAGCACATTGTCTTCACTTATAGATTTTGATTTAAGAAAAGGGAAATAAATTTAGACTATTTACGCATTACAATTATTATAACAACATGCAAATTGCAATGTAGGATTCACAATAATCAATCGCAAAGCCTCCCTAACATTGTTCTTTTTCAGCTTCTTTTAATAACCCATCCAACTCTCGTTAGTAGGATTTGTCCTGTGGTACACCACTCTTGTCCTTTTTAATTATTACTTGTAGTAGTTTCTCACAAACTTAAGAAATTATTGAATACATAAATTTTTTTATTTTTACTCTTATTAAATAGCTAATATATTTTTTCTTACTCATCCTCTCTTCCTTCACCTTTACATTTATCTCTCTTAATTAATAGGGACAGAATTGGAAATGAAGCATTAAAAACAGATAAAAATGACAAATAAAAAGGATCAAAACCCCTTCCTATAAGAGCCAATTAAAAAGGACCAGAGTGGTAAGACTCAGATCCAGCAGTTTTAATGGAGTGATGATTAGCAGGTTATCATTATAATTGAGAATATTAATTTTCATTTTTCCCTTCTTCTTCTTTTGTCACCCTCTCACTTTGTTTAGTGGTCGCATTCTTACAGGTGAAGTGTCAGATAAGGAAAAAGAGAGGCATAAGGAGAAGTTGAGAATTGAAAATGGCTTTTGCTGGTTATAAAGAGTATTTTGAATTCTGAGAAAAGAGCAATGTATATTTGCTGGTTACTAGCATGCTTTAGGGACATAATCTTGCGTAGCTGGGTTGTTTTATTGATAGTTTGAAATACCATATTTGTATGATTTTACCCAAGCATGTTAAGGATGTAAACGACTCGGTTGACGATGTTATAGACTTGTTCTTCGGATTTTGTCAAGTTCTCAGAGTGTTTTCATTTGATAAAAAGAGTGTTTTGAATTGAAGATGTTGCAGACATAAGTGGTATCTCATGGTTGTTGTTATTATTAGCAAAGCGTTCTATTTTAATTTGATAAAAAGAGATATAGTAGTACAGTGTTTATTTTATCTCTCATCATATTATAGTTTCAAATTGACTTTGTAGACGGTATTGAAATGGGCATGCTACTTGGAAAGCAGGAAATTACAAGAAGGAATCAACAGCAGTTCACTGACATAAAGCTTTGTTTTGTTTTTTGTTTTTTGTTTTTTTTGGTGGGCATGAACATAAAGCTTTGCTTTGAATTCACCGTTGAGGCTTATATTTGCCTGTCTAGGTTTAATAGGAAATTTTGTTGGAACAAAAGTCTGGTTGTATTTGTGTTGTTGGGATACAGAAGCATGGCCAATGAGGTTGCCTCTGACAGCTTGAGTAAGAGTTTTGCGGCCACCGTTTTGTCCAAAAAAAGTACTACCTCCAGCTCTTAATAGAATATCAAGTTAATTAATTTGAAAAGATTAAAAACATTGCTAAATTAATTTAAATATATATTTATTAATTTTTTCAACTAATTTTTTTCTCTTATAAATTGATCCATTGCTCACTGTCTCATACTCTGATCTCCATTTTTGTGACCATCTCCCAGACTCTCCTCTGGTTGCATCGTAAGAAGTGTGTGTTGCATCATTGTTTCTCTGTTTGGGGGTCACTTTTTTACCGGTGGAGCCTTGAATAAGGAAAAAAAAAGGAGCATGAGGAGAATTGAATATTGCTTTTGCTAGTTGTAAAGAGGATTTTGAATTATTTGAAAATATTATTGTATATCATATGTTGTATAATAGAGTGGGCAGTTTTTGCTTATCTATAAATGTCTGGTACAAGGAATTTGCGATTTGGTACTTCCTATATATTTTTTTTGGCCCACATGCACACCCAGAGCGCATGTCTTCATTTAATAAAAAGAATGTATCTGCTTACCCAAAAAACAAACTCACTATATTATAATGATTTAATTCTAGATATTATTTTTATATATTTCTACTGTTCTTAATATAAAATTTAATTGTTGAGTTGATTTTGGTCTTAAATATAAGACTTATTTCTCATGTTTATCAATTTTTCTTAAATTACTCCCATGGATACTCTCTCAACCATAATCAAGTGAAAGAGGGAGGGAGGATATTAACGAAGATGATTATGTTATTTTAGGAAAAACATGTTATATTTCTTATAATTAACTAATTTACCTAACTTTCTTAATCTAATTAAATTAATTAAATACGTTTTATATTCAAGACCAGAGGACTACTATTTTTCACTTTGAGGATATGAGAGATGTATGTTTAACGTATATTTTTCTTCTAATTATATTCCATTTTCTTGTTAACATTCGCGTAGAAAAGAAGAAGGTTAAAGTGCATTTTGTTATTTTGGTTCTTTAAATTTATATTAATTTTTAGTTTAATCCATCAATAATTGAATACCCATCTTTTTGACTATCAAGTCAAAAGGCCAGACTCTTTTGATGCTGAAAACTATCACTCCCTCCTCCCTGGGAATTACATGGCGGATACAGACGCGCACACTCATTAATTTAATCAACGCCTCACTTTTTGACTGAAGTCATAAAGCGGCAGACTTTACCTGAAGAATCAATCCCGCGCTTCAAGGAGACTGCTAAGCCTATCAAAACACAACTGTGTGGCCTCTTTCTTCTTTCCACCGATTATCTGCAGCTTCTGATGCTTCATCTCTGATTTATTTTCAAAGTTCTCAATAAAGCACAGTGCTCTCCCTGCTGCTCGGTCGCATAGATATGGCCTTTGAAGCTGCTTCATCCCCTTCTTCTGCTCAGTTGGAAGAGATCAGTCTTACTGGTTCAAGTAAATTGGAAGAGATCAGTCTTAGTGGCTCAAGACTTGTGAACCTTCCCAACCAATTATCTTGCTTGACAAGTTTGACGGTTCTTAGGCTTTCCGACTGTGAAATCATTGATGATTTGAAGCTACATATCCTTTTCGATAGCATGTTGTCTCTAAGTCAAGTGGTGCTGGATAGGTGCAGTGACATAATTGACCTCCCCAGTAATACTAAGCATCTTTTGGGATTGAAATTGCTTAGCGTAAGGGATTTGCAGGAGGCTTCTCTGTTTACCAGAACTACCACCATCCATTGCAAACCTAAATGCCAGTGATTGCAAGTCGTTGGAAATTTTGTCAACTCGTAGACCATCAGGTGGTCACCCAGCATACTTCTCATTCAAGAATTGTGCGCAACTGAAAGAACAATCGCTTCCCAATATCATGGAGGCTGCTGCCTGTTCTATACCTTATTTTTTATTGCATAAAAACAAGAATTACCTGGTACCTTTTTTTATTTGTGTTGCCCGAAACAGAGTACCAGCGTGGTTCAGATACAGGGTGGCACAAAGCTCTGTGATTGTTGAACTCCGTCCAATTTCAGACTCAGCAGATTTCTTCTCCTGCGTTGTACTTGGTGGTCACTCAAAATTATTTTAAGATTTATTTGAAACGCACATGCAACTTGGAAGGTTTTGATGCGGCACATTCAAAACTTGAAGTGACTTTTCGAGATATGAAATCCGATCATGTTTTGATATGGAATGCTGCCTTCGCATATAAAGGGATATTGGCTGAAATTAGACGAAGAAATCAACAGTTGTTCACTAACATAAAGCTTTGCTTTGAATTCTCTAAAATAACTCATGGGTTAATAATCCCTGGCAAAGGAAAAACAAGCAAGTTAACGATCAAAGAATGCGGGGTGAGGCCAGTATCTGTCTCAGAATGTCAGAAAGTTGATGAGCAAATGGAAATGGAGAGGAGAAGGAAGAGAGGAGAAGGAAGAGGCCTCACGATGTTGAAGAGCAACAACCACCATTTCAGTTAAAAAAATGGAGCTTGATGAGGGTACTCATGCCAACACATGTCCTCGTATTGATAAAATGGATACCCTCCTTTGAGAGTGGACATAACCTGAACTCCCTTCTTTATTCTTTAGCCAAGTAAGCTCTCTCTCTCTCTCTCTCTCTCTCTCTCTGTGTATGATTGTTTTAAGGGTTCTATTTCTGCATTTTTCTCATGAATTAAGGGTGTTTATTCTTGAGTCTTGTCCATTTCTTGCGCTTGACATGAAACAGTGCGGACCGGACTAGCAAACATGATAAAAAAGGGAAAAAAGGACAAATTCAATTGAACTTTAATTACATGGAAGAAGAGAAGACTGAGTTATATAAAGAAGGATTTGAAAATCTATTTTTTTTTAAAAAAACTAATAAAGCAAGTTAGATAGTCTTTTATACGCTAAGCTATTTTTTATACTTGAACAATCTAATTCTAATTAAATTAGGCTCGAGTGTAAGATTCCTAAAATTTGTAGATTAGTTTAATTGAGGGAGACTAATTAAAGTGGTTCATTGGTATTTTTGAACGAATTTGGAAGATGAAAGAAGGAGGAGAAATAAGTTTTTTGGGTTAAAAATAATTATTATATAATTAAATATCTTAGCCATCATATGTCAAAGCATTGTGTTACGACTGGTGTCGATCAAAATTGTTAGTGGCGTTAAAACTGGGGGGAGAAAATTGAACATAATTTAGGGTTTGGGGATATTTTTTGAAGCTTGCTCACATAAGCTCATTTTTCTGGATGTTTTCCTTTTTTTTTTTGTCTCTTTATGAGGTTTCTATTTTTACATTTTCTTTTCCTCATAAATTTAGAACAAGTGTTTATCCTTTAACTTGTTTGTCTATTGAGTTAGGCATGAAAACATGTGCTAAATATTAATTTTCTTCTTTTTCTTCTGTCACCCTTTCACTTGGTTTAGGGGTAAAACTCTTACATATGACGTTTCAGACAAGGGAAAGGAGAAGCATGAGGAGAAGTTGAGAATTTAATATGGCTTTTGCTGGTTTTAAAGCGTACTTTGAATTGTGTGAAAAGATTAATGCATATTTGCTAGTTACTAGCATGCTTTATGGACATAATCTTGTACAATTGGGTTGTGTTGTTGATAATTTGAAGTACCATATTTGCATCTTTAGGATGTAAGCAACTCAATTGAGATTGGTCTAGACTTGATCTTTGGATTTTGCAAGTTCTCTGTGTTTTCAATTTAAGATGTTGCTGACGTAAGTAGTATCTTATGGTTATTATTAGCAAAACTTTCTATTTCCATTGGACTAAAAAAAAAGAAAAAAAAGAGGGGTATATAATGTTTATTTTATCTCTCATTATATCATAATTTCATCCCATTTATCATTTTTATATTATTTTTTTAAGGACACGATAGATAATTCCAAGACTATAAAATCAACAGTTGTAAGCTGTGAGTTTAGTCGCATCCCCCCGCCCCCCTAATTTCCACATTTTTTCTCTCATTAATTTCTCTAGAATTTTCTCCATATTTTTCTCTTCGTTCTAGATTTTTATCCCCTCTAACAGAAGCTAGAATGGCGGTAAAATAGGAAATTTTCAGAGCAAAGAAGAAACTAATTAAATGGTGGTGATAAGATGATTAGTATTACCTCCCGTCCTAATTATAAGAGCTAGTTGACTAATTTGAGAAGATTAAGAAAATAAGTTAAGTTAGTTATCTGTAATAAATATGTGTTGTCTTTCCTAAAATATCATTGCTAATCAATGCATTAGTTAGAAGTTAGAACTATCTTCTATCATTAGAAGGATTTCTTTAGAAAAAAATACATAAATATTAAAAACAAAGTGGATTGGGATCTTATATTTAAGATCAAAATAAAAATCCAACAAGATCTTATATTAAGAACCAGAGATAGTATATCACCTACTCGGATACTACAACTTTTCCTCATCAAATGAACAACCGATTATCATATGGCGCAGAACTCAACATGGAATCCTAACTAGTTTGATCACTTTTATCATCATCTACTAGCATTAAATTACGGTTTTAAGGGAGAAAAAAAAATATAACAACGATTTTGAATACTCAAAATAATTATCATAATCTTATTTTAAAAATTATAACAAGACATGGAAACAAGTAATTGAAACATAATTTGTTATTTAAAAAAAAAAAAAAAAGCCATGAGTGCTACTGTGGTACAAAACCAAGCAGGCCTCTCTCTCTTATTTCTTTTGCATAGCTTCTTTTACTTTTTCGTGTCCCTCTTTCTGTTCTTTTTTATTTTTTCTTTTCGTGGGCAGAAAAGAGTGAGTTTAAATCACCGCGGCTAGAAGATAACAAAGGTTTTTGCTTTTTCCCATTTCTGCTACAATAATTCTAGGATGACTTACTGATAATTGAACAAAGCTAAAGCCACACCAAGAAGTTACCATGCAAAGAGGACAGCTTCTGCTGGTGCAGAATCTGAACAGCCTTTAAAAGCATGTGATCATCACTCTCAAACAAACTTGTCCTCAATCGCAAGATCAACAAGATAAAGTTTAAAGTACCACAAAGGACAAAGTTACACTACTTATTAAAAGTTAGTCAGCCACTAAGGGATCCCAAGGCATGTGATAAGCCAATAAAAACACCACAGACGCACATTGGACACGAAGAACATCAAAACATAAGCAAACGTAGATGTTGAGTAAATATCAGTCCCTCAAAAAATTTCACCAGGCACTAACATCAATTCAGTACTTCAAATTAATTACCAACATATCAATCAACATTTTAAGACGTACATCATTCATTAACCTAAAAGAGTTGCCTATGCAACCCAACATGCCCTCAGATGGAATATCAGAGACTGACTTGGTAATTTGCCATAGCTTTAAGTCTGCTCCTAACAAGCTCTGCTTCGAAATGGTAAACTTCTTATGCTAATAAATAAACTTCTTATGCCTCCATCTCCTTTCCCCAAAGCCTGGGGGTTGAGTTGGAGCTACCAGTCCTTTTGTAAGCCCAGTGAAATCTCGCTGATTCTGAAGCCATATCAGAATCAGCATGGTTATGGTTCCTGTTACCATTTGAAGATCCTGAGCAAGGCTTGCAATTTCTATATGGCCCAGAAGCCTTCACCGCCATGTCCTTGATCTAAACATCAAATTTGTATAAAATCGCCAACAAAAATATATATTGGGTTCAGCACTAGATTGAAATTTCAAGAACTAGAGAATGGAACAGAAACCACTAGCTCCGAAATTGTGTTTTTCGGGTGCCATTAAGAGCTTCAAGAAAAATTAAAAAAAAAAAAAAAGAATTACATGATTCAAGAGTTGAAATTTTCGGACCACCTACGAGAATTACCTGCGCGGTGAGGGCCTTAATGGCCTGCTTGGTGCTGGGTGTATTCCCAGCTTCTTCGTGCTCATCTTGTTGGGGAAGAGATCTCTTGTCATTAAGCTGCTTGGAACACGCAATGCAGGTCAACATTTCTGATCTCCTTTCCAGAAAAAGATTGGATATCACCCTTCAGATATCAAAATGATGATTACAGGGTTACCACGAAGCCAGCTCTCAGTCAAAAAAGGAGAACACTTCAGCAGAGCCAAACAAATTGAAGATCTGGGTCAACTTGATCGAATCGAGAAAACTCCATGGCTGCTCTGAACCAAAGCACTATGCCATTGAATTTGAAACCAGCGAACCAAAGAGAGAGATGCTGATGAGGGAAAGACTAATATGATCTGTGAAATATTAAAATATACTAATCAAAGGAGTTAAAACTGAAGCATAAAACAGCAATGTCAAAACTTTTCAACGGAGTAGAGCGGGAGAGAGGGACAAGGGAGGGACGGAAGATGAACGTTAGGACTTGGGGAATAAAAGATGTAGCAAGTTTCAAGGCGAGATTTGTGAGGGATTTCGGATCGAAACGCTGTAAAAATCAAATCCCCCCCCCCCTCCTTTAGGGTTTGTTTGGTTTGAGGGGAGGGAAGGGGAGGGAGGGGAGGGGAGGTTTTATCCTCACCTTGTTTGGTTTGATTAAAAAGGAGGGGAGGGGAGGGTATTTAATGATCCCTTGTTTGGTTCAAGGAGGGGAGGGGAGGGATAGTAATAATCAATTTACCATTTTACCCTTACATATTAGTTTATGTTTTTTATTGATATATTATATAAATTAATTTACATCTTAATTTAAATTATATAATTTAATAAAAATTCAGTCTTATCATGTTAATATGTGTATTAAAAAATTGGTATAGTAATTTTTTATTCTAATTAATATAATAATATATTTAAAATAATCAAATTAACAAATTTTATATGCTCTAAGAAAAATGAAATTTTATTTTCTTTAGGCTATCTTTTTTTCCAACTTTAAAATATATTTAATAAATAATATATTTATAAAAAACAATTAATTTTATATATTATAATTTTTTATTTAAATAATTTTTTATTTTTAAATAATTTTTATAATATATTTTTAATTATAATAATGTATATATTTTTTATTTTTTTACTTAGGATAATATATTTTTTATTTGAAATAAATATTATAATAATATATTTTATGGGTAGAAGTGGAATATTAAAAAAACCATAAGGGCATAATGGTCCAAAATTTTGGCTCCCTTCCAAAAATACCCAATTTGGAGGGGAGCCAAAATGGGGGAGGGGAGGGTATGTCCCCTCCCCTCCAAAATTTTTAACCAAATGAGGGGAGGGGCTCATTTTCCCTCCCCTCCCCTCCAACCAAACATACCCTTAGCTGCAGCAGTAAAAATCTCTCTCCTCTCGCTCCTCTCAAATGGCTAACCCCCTATTCAGATTTTGGTTCTCCACCATTTCACTCTTGTGACTAGCATTTATAGTGCAGGCTGGCTAAGGTGGCCTAGAAGCATGACACTTCAAAAGAATGGAGCTGCTGTGCAAATTGGATTTGGATTCTCTCCACTTCTTCTTCCATCCTCTTCCTTTCCACTGTTCTCTTTTTCCCTTCACAACCGTTGGATCAAAATTCCAATAGTTCAGATTTGACATCTTATAAAAATAATATTATTAAAAAAATATATAAATAAATTTAAACTGTTAAAATATAGTCTAAACAGTTAATAATTGTAATAAAAAAAAGTTGAAAAAAATTTGCTCTGTGATAATAATCTGTAGATATAAGCTGTTCAAATTAGATTTTAATAGTTTAAATTTATTTATTTATTTTTATAATTATATTTATTTTTATAAAATGTTGTAAAATATTAAATCTGGACCATTGAAGTTTTGATCCAATTGTTGTAAAGGGCCAAAGAGAGTAGTGGAGGAGAAGAGGATGGGAGAAGAAATGGAGAGAATCCAAATCCGTGCAAATTTGATTATGTCATGGACTTTGTGAAAATGAAAGGAAAAGGAAGGAAGAAAAGAAAAAGACAAGATGAGAGTGAGGTTCTGTATTCCCTCGGTTGATCAGCTGCATTCTTTCCTCTCTATCTTTTATAGGTCATGCAGAGGTTTGCACAGAATCCAAATCCGTAGATTTGGATCAGGCGCATTCTGTATTTACTGGCTTTCTCATGGCAAGGATTAGTATGGATTTTTTTTTTGGGCCAAAAAGATTAGTATGAATTGAATGGCTTAGATATTGAGTTAGATAAGTTCATGCATGTATTTAATTGAAGTTGCTAATAAAATTAATATATTTGTTATTTTATACATTAAAATTTTATTTTTTAAAAAAATTGTTACTAATAAGTATTATAACTTGATGTTTAAATATTTTTTCTACAAGGCATGTGTATGGTGTTTGTTTGGCTAGAAGTTCCGACAATTTAACATTTAAATATAAATACACTAATATTCCATCTTAATGAGTATTGAATTTAAATTAATTAACGATAAATATATCGCCATAATATTTATTAAGCAAACATATAATTGTTAAAAATAATGTGTCAGGATAAGGATTATACTGCATAATATTTAAAGAAAAAACTATCCTACAATGATGTTATTTTGTGTTAACAATTTTAAAATTTTAAAAAATGTTTGAACTGGACGACTAAGGGTTGGTTTTTCCAATATGATAGGGTGAAATTATACACATCTAGCATTTCAAAATTTCAAATACTGCAAAAATACAATATCATTTGTTTTTCAAATGTTGTCAATTATTATTAAAGTTTAATTTAAGCAATTGACCAATTAAGTTAGCATAGGAGAGAGATTAATTAATAATGATAATAAGTTAAATTAATTTGGGTATGAGTGAGGATGAATAAATTGATGGATAATGATAGCAGTGGACCATAAGTCACATGCCTCAAACGAAAAAGGAATGGAAAGATGTGTGATTGCTTTATGTTATGTATATGTAAGTCTCGAGGATAATTTACGTTAAAATTACATTACATAATATATATATTTATATACTTCTCCGATCCTTAATATAAGACCCATTTAACTAATTTGATTAGATTAAGGAAGTTAGGTAAGTTAGTTAATTATAAGAAAAGTGACACATTTTTCCTAAAACACCATAATCATCTTTCTTAATACCTCCTCTTCCTCTTCTACTTGACTATGGTTGAGGGGGTCTCCATAGGGGTAATTTAGAAAAAATTGATAAATATGAGAAATGGGTCTTATATTTAGGACTAAAACCAACTCAAGAATTGGGTCTTCTATTAAGGACCGGAGGAGTATATAGGAAGAGCATGTGAATGCACGTTGATGTGAGAGTAAAAGAATGATGATAGTACTTTAATTGGGAGCTTCAATCATTTCTGCTCGTGATTCAACAAGGAGTGAAACTTCATTAACTGATGATCCTAGAGAGGTAAATGATTAATACCGTTAAATGAACTGACTTCATATTCAACAAGAAGGATGGTTTTGTTCATGGATAAGGATGAGCAAAATAGGATTTTTAGGGTAAAAATACTGTTAAATGAGCTGACTTCATATTCCTCCAATTACACAAAAACTGCTTGTTTATGGTTAAATTTTGGTTCCCGACTCAAATGTTAGGTCTAAATGATTTGAAATGATAACTAAATTATGCAATTCAGGTCTGACGAAACACATTGTAAAAAGCTCCACTGAATAGTCAAACTCTCCAGTTTAGCTAAACTTTCAAATCAGCATATGCGTGTGTGTTTTGGTTTTCATGCATTTGCATATTTTTCAGTTCAACTTTGTATTAATATAAATACTCTCATTTTAACTCATACTTGTCAAGGATGGGCCTTGCATTAGTTTTGTTTCCAGAGATTTTATTTTAGCCACGAAAATGGAATTAGATTTAAACATGAGGTTTCAGCACATACTTCATTATTGTTCTTCCAAGTCTTATCAATAGATTAATCGTTGAAGTGCCCCCTTCCCCCCCCCCCCCCCAAAAAAAGTTAATGTGTCAGAGGCAAGTCGTGAGCTCTTCGGCAAGTGATGTGGTATCATTATATCAATGGGCCAGACCCAAAAGGCCCACATCATCCTTTCCGGGCTTTGACGTTGGCTGCGCTTATATACTGGAATTGAGACCATTAATATAATCCATGTTCGGAGAAGCATTTATATCTAATGCATGATAGTATCTTGAATAGGATTGTTTCTAATAAGAAGATATTTGTGTCTAGAAAAAAATTGAGATTTTTCATTCAAAATCAAGTTGATGATGATAACGGGGGATTACAATACACGTGCCTCAAAAGGAAAAGATAAGCAACGGGTTCTGACTGGCTTTTATGTGAAGAACTGATCTTTTTTCATTAGATTTAATCCCAGTAGTGACATGCGTCTAATTTTATTTAGATACAGGAGATTCTCTTAGTTGAGTATTGTATATGATACGCTGTGCAATAGAGTGGACAGTTTTTGCCTGTATATCCATGCGCATCAAATTATTTATAAGAAATTTTAACTTTTTAAATGTTCTTTATAAATAGGACTAGAGATAATATAAATGTACACTCTTTGAAGTTCTTGTATATTTTGGGATGTCAAAATGATGCAATAATATGATTCTATGTGGCCTTAAATCTATTGTTTTTATTGATAATTTCATGTGTTATTAGTTGATAATATAAATATGGGCAGATTTTGTCAAATCCTCAAAGTGTATTTTTTCATTTGATAAAAAGAATGTTTTTAAATGATGATGTTGTGGACACATTTCTCTTATGGTTATTATTATTAGCAAAGCTTTCTATTTGCATTCGCTTGGAAAAAAGGATATAATACTTACTATATATCTCGTTATATTATAATAATTCAGTTCTAGCTACTATTTATATACTATTTTTTATTTTAAGGACATGAAAGATATCTTTTCAACTTATATAAAATTAACTTTCTCTCTGTCTATTTTTCCTCCGTTTTATTCCTTTTCTATGTCAAAGGTCGACATGTTTCTTGTTTTTGCTTGTGTTTTTTACCATCAGATGTTTCTTGTTAGTTTGTTACCTTCTTCAAAAGAAATTTCGTGTAAAAAGAACTATTTTAAATGAGCCTACATAATATATTGAAATATGAAATACTTATCTCAAAAATAATTTAAAAAATTATAAAAATTTCAAGCAAGTCTTACTCTTGTCAAATATATGTGGCGTAACCAACAAATATTTCCCGATAGTTATTAATGTTTTTCTAAGTAATTCCTTCTTAGCTTGGATTTATTGTTGTAAGGCAGGGGAATTAAACTCAGGGATACTAGAAATTAACCTGAAGTTCATCAGTAACTGACCCTAGTTTAACATTTTAGATTAGAGAATAGCAACCTATCTTTTTGACTACCAAGTCATAAAGTTGCGCTCTTTTGAGGATGAAGACCATCAATCCCTCCTTCCTGGAAATTGCATGGCACCCACAGGCACGCCTACGCGTTAATTAGCGTCACTTTTTCACTGAAAGTCATAAAGTGGCACACTTTTGACTAAAGAATTAATTACATAACCCCGCGGGGTTAGATCGACTGGCTGGGATCGTCCTAGTCCTAGCTTAACCACAGATCTCAGGGTCGAGACGTGGGAACGCAGCACTCTAAGGGGTTAGGGGGCGCCGTCCGTATGGATCCTTGTAAGCCCTCGAATCCGGATTAGTCTTGAGACGTTGTCACGGCTGAAAGACGCCTATTTTCCTGGGATAGCGGATGGAGTAATCCAAAAAAAAAAAAAAAGAATTAATTACATCCTTCGAGGAAATTACCAAACCTACCAAAACAAAACCGCGTAGCGTGTTTTTTCTTCCACTCATCTGCATCTTTTGACACTCCATGTCTGATTTATTTCCAAAAAGTTCTCAATGCTACACAGTGCTCTCCCTGCTGCTCAATCAGATAGAGATATGGCCCTTGTTGCTGCTTCATCCTCTTCCTCTGCTCAATCCCTCCGCAAGAAGTATGACGTTTTCATCAGCTTTAGGGGTGAGGACACTCGCTTCGGCTTCACTAGCCATCTTTATCATGCTTTCGACAGAAAAGGTATCACAACCTACATAGACTACCAGCTCGTGAGAGGAGATGAGATCGCACCATCACTTCTGCAAGCTATCGAGGATTCATATGTATCTCTGGTGGTGTTCTCTGAAAATTATGCTTCTTCAAGATGGTGCTTGGATGAACTTGCCCATATACGCCATTGCAAAAGAGATCAAGGACAGATTGTTATTCCTGTCTTCTTTAAAGTCGACCCGTCTCATGTACGCAATCAGACTGGCCTTTACCAGCAAGCATTTGAGAGATATGAGAGAGATCTCAAGGTTGACCAGCACAAGATGCAAATGTGGAAGCAAGCTCTTAATGAAACTGCAAACTTAGCTGGTCACGACTCTCGCACATTTAGGTAATTAATAGATTCATTAATTTTCTTCTATTCACAAATGATGGAGTTTGCAGAGATTTACGTGATGGATCAAATGATTAAGACATTTTATTCAATTTTTCGTAAACATTTTTAGGTCTTTATCATTTATCATTTATATTTATACACTTTATACAATTTATTCTCTATTTATTTATCACTTATCGTTTATCATTTGTCTTTAATAAATCAATTTTTTCTGCTTAATTGCGCTTTTCCTTTTTTGCCTTTTATTTTTCTTATGTCAGGGATGAATTTGAATTGATTCAAAAGATTATCAAAGACATACTGCAGAAACTGAATCACAAGTACCCCCAGCTGAACTAAAAGGACTCATAGGCATTGAGGACAACTGCGCAGAGATTGAACTATTGTTGAAAGATGCCAAAACAAAAACCATTGGAATATGGGGCATGGGGGGTATCGGCAAGTCAACCATTGCCAAAACTATATTTTTCAAACATTCTTCCCATTATGACAGTACTTGCTTCTTGGAAAATGTAAGGGAAAAATCTCAAAATGGAATTGATGAATTACGGCGCAAATTTCTCTCTTGTCTGCTAAAGGAAGATCTCTTTATTGATGCTTCAACCTCTTTTCTTGAGTCTAGGCTTAGTCGTATGCAATTTTTCATTGTTCTTGATGATATCAGCAGTGTGGAGCAATTGGAATATTTGGTTGGAGGACGCTTTTGCTTTGGGAAAGGAAGTAAAATTCTCATCACAACCAGAGACAAGCATGTTCTTAGCAAAGGAGTTGATGTAATATATGAGGTTAAGAAATTGAAGTTTGATCAATCCCTTAAACTTTTCTGCTTGAATGCCTTCGACGCTAGCCAGCCTTTGACGGGATATGAAAAACGAACTGACAGGGCAGTTTTTTATGCACAAGGAATTCCATTGGCTTTAAAAGTTTTGGGTTTATATCTTCATAGAAGAAGTGAAGCTGAATGGGATAGTGCTTTGAGAAAACTTGAGAAGAGTCCTCATAAAGATATCCAAAAGGTGTTAAGGTTGAGTTATGATGAACTGGATGATGAGGAGAAGAAAATATTTCTAGACATCGTGTGCTTTTTGAAGGGAGAATCGACAGAATTTGTAATCAGTTTATTAGATAGCTTTGACTTCTCTGGAGCAATTGGGATAAGAACACTTCATGACAAGGCTCTCATAAATGTGCATTATGGTATTGTACAAATGCATGATTTGATACATGAAATGGGGCTGCAAATAGTTCGTGAAGATAATGGTGAACTAGGAAAATGTAGCCGATTATGCGATTCTGAAGAAATTTACGAAGTTTTAGCTAACAATATGGTAACAAATCCCTTTTTTTATATCATACGTAACTTTATGAATGATGTGATATGAACGTAATATGATGTGATTTACTTAATATGGTTTCTTTGTTATTTTATTTTTGTTTATAAGGGAACAAGCAAAGTTGAAGGCATAAAATTGGATGTTTCTCAAATTAAACATCTACATTTGGAAGCTGACATTTTCAAGAAGATGCCTAATATAAGATATCTCAAATTTTATTCTAATTGTTATTCTCCTTTCCACACTCCCTCAAGTCATGTGCACCTTCCAGAAGGTCTCAAATTTCTTCCTAATAAGATGAGGTATCTAGAGTGGTATGGATTCCCACTTAAATCTCTGCCCTCCACTTTTTGTCCTGAAAATCTTGTTAAGCTCCGCATGCGCCATAGCCATCTTCAAAAGCTTTGGAGCGGAGTGCAAGTATGTATAGCCTTATTTGTGCTTCATGTTTTTCATTTAGTTGAAACATCTTGATGTCCTCATTTGAACTGTCTCTCTTTGTTGGTATAGGATTTTGTGAGCTTACAAGAGATAGACCTTTGTGGTTCGAAACAACTACTGGAGCTGCCCGATCTCTCCAAATGCTTCAATCTCAAAGTGGTACGACTTGATGAATGCGAAAGTTTGTGCTCTGTTCATTCCTCAATCTTGTCTCTCCACTCGCTTGTTGAGTTGTCCTTACAGCGGTGCGTGAAACTTACGAGTCTAAAAAATGAGTTACATTTAAGATCTCTACAAGATATCTATGTGTTAGGGTGCTCGAATCTCAAGGAGTTCTCAGTATCATCTGATGAACTTAGAGAATTGGATTTAGCTGACACAGGAATTGAAATCTTGCACTCGTCTGTAGCGCGTTCAAGTAAACTGGAAGAGCTCAGGCTTGGGGGCCAAAGATTTGTGAACCTTCCCGACCAATTATCTTGCTTGACAAGTTTGACAGTTCTTTATCTTGGACACTGTGAAATTATTGATGATTCGAAGCTACATATCTTTTTTGATGGCATGTTGTCTTTAAAAGAGGTGAACCTGAATGAGTGCGGTAACATAACTGAACTCCCTAATAATACTAAGCATCTTTTAGGATTGGAATCACTTGGAATATGGAATTGTAGGAGGCTTCGTTCTTTACCAGAACTACCACCATCCATTGCACGCATAGTTGCCTTTGGTTGCCAGTCATTGGAAATTGTGTCAACTTGTAGACCATCAAGTGGTCGCCCGATATTCTTCTTTGTCGAGAATTGTGTGCAACTGAATGAACAATCGTTTCACAATATCATGGAGGCTGCTGCCTATTCTATACCTTATTATTTATTGTATAGAAATGAGGATGACTGGTGTGATTATATGATTGGTGTTCCCGGAAGCAGAGTACCAGAGTGGATCAAATACAGGGCAACAAAAAGCTCCTTAACTATTGAACTCTCTCAAATTTCAGGCTTAGCGGATTTCTTCTTCTGCATTGTTCTTGATATTCACTCAGAAATTAACTGTCCAGTTCGAGGTTTGATGTGCACATGCTACTTGGAAGATTTTGATGTGACATATTCAGTTCTTGGTAATGTGGATCTTCAAGATAGGAAATCTGATTATGTTTTTATATGGAATGGTGATGATCACTTCGGAAGTAAAAGCATAGTGGATGAAATCAGAAGAAGAAATCAACAGTTGTTCACTAACATAAAGCTTCGCTTTGAATTCTCTGCTCGATCTCGTTGGTCTCATAAGCCAATGATCGGCGAAAGCAAGTTAATGATCAAAGAATGCGGGGTGTGGCCAGTATATGTCTCAGAATGTCAGAAATTTATTGAGCAAATGGAAATAGGGAGGAAAAGGAAGAGGCCTCACGATGTTGAAGAGCAGCAACCACCGCCTCACTTTAAAAAAATGGAGTTTGATGAGGGTACACATGCCAGCAGTTAGAGAGTGGATATAATCTGAACTCCCTTCTTCATTCTTTAGGCAAGTAATCTCCCCCCCAGGGGCGGGTGTGTGATTGTTTTATCTCCCTATTAGGCTCCTATTTCTGCATTTCCCTCATGAATGGTATTTATATAAAGAAGGATTTGAAAATCTATTTTGAAAAAAGAAAAAACTAATAAAGCAAGTGAGATTGTCTTTTATACACTTAAGGTATTTTTTTATACTTGAACAATCTAATTCCTAATTAAACTAGGCTTTAACGTAAGATTCCTAAAATTTGTGGATTAGTTTAATTGAAGGAGACTAGTTAAAGTGTTTCACTGGTATTTTTAAAGGAATTTAAAATATGAAAGAAGCAGAAGAAGAAATAAGGAGAAATAGGTTAAAAATAAAGTATTATATAATTAAATATGTTAGCCAGCTTTGGTCAAAGCACTATGTTACAGCCGGCATCAATCAACATTGTCAGTGGCGTTAAAATTAGGGGAAGAAAATTGAACATAATTGAGGGTTTGAGGACATTTTTTGAAGCTTGCTTGTATAAGCTCGCTGCTCTGGATGTTTTCCAATTGTTCTGTCTCTATTGGGTTTCTATTTTTGCATTTTATTTTTCTCCTAACTTAAGAGCAAATGTTTATCATTTAATTTGTTTGTCTATTGAGTTAGACAAGAAAGTGTATGTTAAATGGTTTGAAATCACAAGCAGATAGAACCCACAACTTTCTAGTTGTAAGAAAATATTTATGCCACTAGATTACAATTTGATTGACATTATTTTACTTATATGATATTAGGAGAATTGAACTATTTCTACATGAAGAACCTCATGCTTAGAAGCACCTTGTTTAGATTCCTCTTAAAGGTTTGCCTGTGCAACTTGTTAATGCATATTAAATTTTGACGTTAAAATTCATTCAGTGAATTTTATTTTTCTTTTTTTCTTCTATAGATGGAAGTGATTCTTGATTTTTTGAAAGCAGATTGTCTTCAATTGTAGATTTTGATTTAAGAAAAGGGAAATAAATTTATACTATCTACGCATTACAATTATTATAACAACATGCAAATTGCAATGTAGGATTCAAAATAATCAATCGTAAAGCCTACCTAACATTGTTGTTTTTCAGCTTCTTTTAATACCCCATCCAACTCTCTTGTTAGCAGGATTTCTCTTGTAGTATATCACTTATAGTAGTTTCTCACATACGAAAGAAATTATTGAATACATAAAATCTTTCACTTTTACTCTTATAAAATAGCTAGTATATTTTTTTTCTCACTGATTCTCTCTTTCTCCACCTTTACATTTATCTCCCTTAATTAATAAGGACAGGATTGGAAATGAAGCATTAAGAAGAGATAAAAGTGACAAATAAAAAGGATCAACATCCCTTCCTATAAGTGCCAATTAAAAAGAACGAGAGTGGTAAGACTCAGATCCAGCAATTTTAATGGAGCGATGATTAGCAGGTTATCATTATAATTGAGAATATTAATTTTCTTTTTTCCCTTCTTCTTTTGTCACCCTCTCACTTTGTTTAGTGGTTGCATTCTTACAGGTGAAGTGTCAGCTGAGAAAAAAGAGAAGCATAAGGAGAAGTTGAGCATTGAATATGGCTTTTGTTGGTTATAAAGAGTAATTTGAATTATGAGAAAACAGCAATGTACATTGCTGGTTACTAGCATGCTCCAGGGACATAATCTTGCGTAGCTGGGTTGTTTTATTGATAATTTGAAATACCATATTTGTATGATTTTACCCAAGTATCTTAAGGATGTAAATGACTCGGTTGAAGATGTTATAGACTTGTTCTTCGGATTTTGTCAAGTTCTCAGAGTGTTTTCATTTGATAAAAAGAGTGTTTTGAATTGAAGATGTTGCAGACATAAATAGTATCTCATGGTTGTTATTATTATTGGCAAAGCGTTCTATTTTAATTTGATAAAAAGAGATAGAGTAGTATAGTGTTTATTTTATCTCTCATCATATTATAGTTTCAAATTGACTTTGTAGACGGTATTGAAATGGGCATGCTACTTGGAAGGCAGGAAATTACAAGAAGGAATCAACAGCAGTTCACTGACATAAAGCTCTGTTTTGTTTTTTGTTTTTGTTTTTGTCGGCATGAACTTAAAGCTTTGCTTTGAATTCACCATTGAGGCTTTATATTTGGCTGTCTAGGTTTAATAGGAAATTTTGTTGGAACAAAAGTCTTGTTGTATTTGTGTTGTTGGGATACAGAAGCATGGCCAATGAGGTTGCCTCTGACAGCTTGAGTAAGAGCTTTGCGGCCACCGTTTTGTCCAAGCAAAGTACTACCTCCAGCTCTTAATAGAATATCAAGTTAATTAATTTGAAAAGATTAAAAAAGTTACTAAATTAATTTAAAATATTTAAATTGATATATAATCTAATCTGTTTATCACCGTCTCGTTTTCTGATCTCTATTTCTGTGACCATCCCCCAGACTCTCCCCTGGTTGCATCGTAAGAAGTGTGTGTTGCGTCATTGTTCCTCTGTTTGGGGATCACTTTTTTACAAGTGGAGCCTCGAATAAGGAAAAAAAGAAGCATGAGGAGAATTGAATATTGCTTTTGCTAGTTATAAAGAGCATTTTGAATTATTTGAAAATATTATTGTACTACCTCCGGTTATCATTATAAGACCTCATTTATAGTTTACAAATAAAGTCTTATAATTATGATTGGTATAAATAAGATTTTATAATTAAGATCAGAGGTAGTATATCATATGTTGTATAATAGAGTGGGCAGTTTTTCCTTATATATAAATGTCTAGTGCAGGGAATTTGCGATTTGGCACTACGTACATGTTTTTTGGCTCACATGTACACTCAGAGCGCATGTCTTCATCTGATAAAAAGAATGTTTCTGTTTGCCAAAAAAATATCTCGCTATATTATAATGATTTAATTCTAGATACTACATTTGATAAAGCACAGTGCTCTCCCCGCTGCTCGGTCGCATAGATATGGCCTTTGAAGCTGCTTCATCCTCTTCTTCTGCTCAGTTGGAAGAGATCAGTCTTATTGGTTCAAGTAAATTGGAAGAGATCAGTCTTAGTGGCTCAAGACTTGTGAACCTTCCCAACCAATTATCTTGCTTGACAAGTTTGACGGTTCTTAGGCTTTCCGACTGTGAAATCATTGATGATTTGAAGCTACATATCTTTTTCGATAGCATGTTGTCTCTAAGTCATGTGGTGCTGGATAGGAGCGGCAACATAATTGACCTCCCCAGTAATCCTAAGCATCTTTTAGGATTGAAATTGCTTAGCGTGAGGGATTGTAGGAGGCTTCGTTCTTTACCAGAACTACCACCATCCATTGCAAACCTAAATGCCAATGATTGCAAGTCGTTGGAAAATGTGTCAACTTGCAGACCATCAGGTGGTCACCCAGTATACTTCTCATTCAAGAATTGTGTGCAACTGAATGAACAATCGCTTCCAAATATCATGGAGGCTGCTGTCTATTCTATACCTTATTTTTTATTGCATAAAAACAAGAATTACCTGGTTCGTTTTTTGATTTGTGTTGCCGAAACAGAGTACCAGAGTGGTTCAAATACAGGGCAGCGCAAAGCTCCGTGACTTTTGAACTCCCTCGAATTTCAGACTTAGCAGATTTTTTCTTCTGCGTTGTACTTGGTGGTCACTCAGAAAATTATAAGAAGACATGGAAACAAGTAATTGAAACATGATGAATATTTATTCAAAAAAAAAAAAATCGTTCGACTCCTGGAACAGAAGACAATGCCATGAAAGCGATCATACAGGTGCAGCTTTCAGGGAAAGAAAATCCGAAATTTTTTTGGTATAGAAGTCTGGTTGTATGTTGTTGTTGGGATTTTGAAGCATGGTCAATGAGGTTAGCCCTGACAGCACAATAAGAGTTTTGCAGCCACCATTTTGTCCAAACAAAACATCAGCGTCTAATCTGTCCCCAACCATGCAAATCTGAGACTTCTGAATTCCAAATCTGTCATCTGGGGATATCAGACCAGATTCAGGGCAAACTTATTGACCAAAATGTCAAGTTCTTTCATTTACACGTCAATAATGCAAAATAGGGAAATATAAAAGCTTACTTGTTTAGCTAAGTAGTCCATCATAAAAGTTGAGGGCTTTCCAACCACTAGCGGCTCACGTTGTGCAGATCCACTAATAGCACCAACCAGAGATCCCCCACCTAAAACAATTAGATATCGTACTAATTATTGGCGCATTACATAGATTATTGACTTCAGGGAAAAAGTATCAGGAAATTTCATATTGATAAGAAAGTTTTGATGATGTCTATACCGAAACTTGAAGTATTTGAATCATTTGAAACTTTCTCCATCTTGTGATCTAGTGGCCAGCTCAGAACCAGTTATTTTGCTGTTTGGTCAACATGAATTTAGCTTGATGTTACTTAAAGGAAAATCCAAAATTTTGCATAATTGAGATTCGCAATATCAGTTTCAAACACAGCAAGAGGACAGAAGGTTTAATCTGCCCATTCCTGAGCATCGGTGAGATGAGTAACAGCATCACGATTTGTTGCAATGAAAAGACATCCAGGGTTTTCACGTATGCAAAGCATTCCATACCTTTTGTCATGACGAAAATACCTTTTATTATGAGGATAAGAAAAATATCTATTAAATAATACTAATATACTATTGCATGCTGGCACAAGGCTCAATTCTACAGTATTTTATTATTACTAATAGCCACAGTTCATAGAAGAAAAACATGGTTACAAATGTCTGGTGTAAACTAACCCCCCTCCTTTCCCAAAAAAAAAAAAGGAAGCAAGCATCCATGTAGTCCAGATTGAGAGGTGTCGTAGTGTCAAAATCAAGGGACCACTGATCTGTAGCTTCCAGTGATTCCGAAGGAGCATAATCTGGATTAGAGTGCTTCCATTAAATAGGCACCTATATCAGTGGTTTACTTTCCTTCCTTGCAACCTTCCTTACCAACATACCTTCTGGTTCCATGGAGAAGTAGCCATAATCTCCCGCTGTTGAGGCAATTAGTACCTACTGGCGTCCGTCCTCTACACAAACGTTCAGAAACGATACGTAAAATATAGCATCCCTATCCCGTAAACTCCTATCTACCACTGCATAATCACTATTCCCAGTTACACGGTAAATGATTACGGGGTGCCATAAACTGCTTCATATGAAGTCATTCCTGTTGAAGAATGGAATGAAATGTTGTACCATAATTATGCAAATAGCAACTATTTACTCCACTCCTTAGGTTGCATTCCACGCACACATCTTAGATAATAGATAGCGCTCAAGGCATCTGTTTGAGGACTGCAGGCTTCATACGAAGTCATTCCTGTTGAAGCTTGATGACAGTATCCATAACAGCTTGTGCCACATGAATAACTGTAAAAGGATTATACAGAGCAATAAAATGAGCTGCCTTTTGTTAACTTTATTCACTAGCACTGGTATCATTGAAGCATTCCACATGCTGCCACTGTCTAATTTTTGTACCATGGGCAAATAACACAGCTTCACGGATACCTTCCAACATCCGTGGCCATTCATTTCCATTAAAAAATTGGCTGGCAAACATCACATCTTTGCGCATGCCTCCTAACGTCTGTGGCCATTCCTTTCCAATAAAAAATGGCAGATAAATATCACAACTTTGCTCCTACCTCTTAACAAAAACTCTTCACAAAGCTTCCTCTTTGCTCACCAACTTCTTCCCATTTCATATTAGTAAGAGGAAGCTGTTCAAAAATTGTTCGGTTTAGCGGAAGTTTAAAATCACTATATATATGTGTGTGTTTTACCTTTCATGCATTTGCATATTTTTCAGTTCAACTTTGTATTTTTTTTTTTTGGCTAAAGCATAGCTATTCTCTTATTGGAGGCAATTCTATTCGAGGTACTGTCAGACACTAAATGTGGGTACCTCTCCCAATAGGGATTCGAACCTTGGTTCGCTATATTGTGAGGGACTAACCCCTTCCGCTAGACTCAACCCCAGTTGGTGTTCAACTTTGTATTAATATAAATATTTTCACCCATTTTAACTTCTACCTGTTAAGGATAGGTCCTGCATTAGTTTTGTTTCCAAAGATTTTGGACCTATTTGGCAATTATTTTCACTTGACTGTTTTTTTTAAAAATAGAAATTTGTTTTAAAAAACTAAAAACAGAAAACAACTTTTAGATGTTTTTTAATTTTTTTGTTTTGGATTTCTAATTCCCAATCGACGACTTTTCTCTACTTGATGGATTGAAAAATCGAGACCTTGTCTAGCTCTTTTTCTTCACTCCCCCAACGGCCATTGGAGGGCAGGAGTGATCACCGACTCCTCACCTGTGTGCTCGCCTTCTCCTCTCCCTCCGATCTCGATGCTCGGTGCTCGCCGTCTTCCTTCCTCAGTCCTCAATCAGTGAATCATCAGTCTCTAGTCTCTCCTTGTCTGATTATTTTAATGGGATTTTTATCTAAAACTTGATCTGCATCATTTAATGGATTTTTGTGTAGCATTTAAGGTCTAAACATGAATGCCTCTAGACCAAAATGTGTAGTTCTTTCATTCATACGTCAAGAATGCAAAATAGGGAAATATAAAAGCTTACTTCTTTGGCTAAGTAGTCCATCGTCAAAGTTGAGGGCTTTCCAACCACTAGCGGCTCACGTTGTGTAGATCTAGTAATATCACCAACCCGAGATCCCCCACCTAAAATCAGTTGGACATCGTACTAATTATTGGGGCATTAGATAGATTATTAACTTCAGGGGAAAAATATCAGGAAATTTCATATTGATAAGAAAGTTTTCATGATGTCTATGCTGAAACTGAAAATACAGCTTAACATGATGAGTGAAACATAAAAAATATTCCATGTAATTGAGTCATTTGGAACTTTCTCCATCTTGTGGTCTAGTGGCAAGCTCAGAACCAGTTATTTCGCTGTTGGTCAACGCGAATTTAGTTTGATGTTATTTAAAGGAAAATCCAAAATTTTGCATAATTAAGATTTGCAATATCAATTGCAAAGACGGTAAGAGGACAGAAGGTTTAATTCCGTTGCTATTTGTAAGGGATTAGCGACGGATTAGCGACGAAATTTTATTCGGTCACGAAATTCTGTCACAAGTCTGTCGTTAATTCTATTTTAAATGATGAGTGATCGAAATTAGTGATAGAAAGGAAATTAGTGACAGAATTTTTCCGTCACTAATTTTCGTCCCAATTCTGTCACAAAAAAATATAATATAAATATATAATAATAATTTTTTAAACTTATTATTAAAATAAAAATATAATATATCATAATTTTTAAATAATATATTATATAAAAATTAAAAATAGAAATATTATAAAAGAAAATAAAAATAAAAAGATACAATATACTTATTATTTTGTTAAATATATGAATAAAAATATAAGTCACTAGAAATTTTTTACTAAAATAGAAAAATAAAATTCAAATAAATAATAATATATTAAATTATATAATATATATTAAATTATGTATACAATATTCATTATTTATATTTGTATTTGTTATTAGAAATATTATATATATTTATTTTTGCATAAAAATTTCATAGATGCTTCTTAGTTCAACTGGCAAAGGTTTTAGCACGTACACTCCTTCACAAAATGGAGCCAATTTGTGATTTGGCGATGATGTGGACAAGGCAATGACGTGGTAGCTCATAATGATGGACACGTGGCGATGGTAGTTGCATTTGACTTATGTGAAAATATTATCGTTATGTCATATGTAATAGGGTGAGCAGTTTTTGCATATGTACCTACGCATTAAATTATTTATAAGAACTTTTAACCTTTTAAGTGCTTTTTTTTTAATCTTAAATGGGACTAAAAATAGGATAAATGTTGACTTTCTGAATTTCTTGTATATTTTGTCCTGTCAAAATGATGTAATAATATGCTTCTATGGCCAGAAATCTAGTGTTATTATGGATAATTTCATATATTATTAGTTGATAATATAAAGATAGACAGATTTTGTCAGGTCCTCAGTGCATGTTTTCATTTGATGAAAAGAATGTTTTAAAAGTTTCACAAAAGAAAAAAGAATGTTTTTAAATGAAGATGTTGTGGACACGTTTATCTTATGGTTATTATTATTAGCAAAGCTTTCTATTTTCATTTGATTAAAAAAACTGATATATAATACTTACTATATATCTTGTTGTATTATAATAATTTAATTCTAGGTTCTTGTTATTATTTTTATACTATTTTTTTTATTTTAATGACATGAAAGATATATTTTCAATTTTTATAAAATTAACTTTTTCTTTGGCTATTTTTTTCCTCTGTTCTATTCCACTTGCATGTCAAAGGGTTAGCTGTTTCTTGTTAACTTGTTGCGTTTTGAAGAAATTTAGTGTAATAAAACGAAGTATTTCAAGACCATTGTGCGCATTGTTGTCGGCCGAAAAAAGAGTCTACATAGCTTTGAACAGAAAAAGGAAAAAGAGTCTGCATAACATATTGAAATCCGAAATACTTTTTTAATTTTTAATGTGAGACCTAATTAACTAATTTGATTAGATTAAAAATATTAGTTAAAATAGCTAATATGATATATTTTTTCTAAAACACTATAATCATTTTTTTTAATTCTCTTCCTCTTTTTTCCACTTGATTATTGTTGGAGAAATATCAATATGATTAATTTGAGAAAAATTAATAAACATGTGAAATATGTTATATATATAACTAATATTAACTCTCTAATTAACTCCTATATTAAGAACTAAGGAGTACTAATTTAAATGTCTTTATTTTATTCCTGCAAAAATAATTTTAGAAAATTATAAAAAATTCACGCAAGGCATATCTAATATATATGGTCATGGCATGCCCAGAAAATATTCTACAACATTTCTTTCATAAATAAATGCATCTAACATAGTTATTCATGTTTTTCTAAGTAACTCTTTCATAGTTTGGATTTATTGTTGTAAGGTTGGGGAATTAAACTCCAGGGAAACTGGAAATCTCGCTGTATATTTTCTAAAACAAACAAATTGAAGTTTGTACTTTGTAATTTTTTTTTTTGGGCAAAAAGTTTGTACTTTGTAATTAACTTGAAGGTCGTCAGTACCTAACCTTAGTTTAACATTTTTTTCTTTTATCAAATCAATCCCTCCTTCTGTTTGGCCAAAAAAAAAAAAATCAATCCCTCCTTCCTAGAAATTGCATGGCGTGCACTGACGCGCCTACTCGTCAACCTCACTTTTTGAGTCAAAGTCATAAAGTTGGCGACTTTACCGAACGAACCAATTCCATCCTTCAAGAAAATTGCTAAGCCAATCAAAACAAAACCGCGTGGGCTCTTTCTTCTTCCCACTAATCATCTGCAGCCTCTCATCCTCCATCTCTGATTTATTTCCAGAGTTCTCAAGACAACAAAGTGCTCTTCCTGCTTCTCCATTGCATAGATATGGCCCTTGTTGCTGCTTCATCCTCTTCCTCTGCTCAATCCCTTCCCAAGAAGAATGATGTTTTCATCAGCTTCAGGGGTGAGGACACTCGCTCCAACTTCACTAGCCATCTTTATCATGCTTTCTGCGGAAAACAAATCAGAACCTACATAGACTACCAACTTGTGAAAGGGGATGAGATCTCACCATCACTTGTGCAAGCTATCGAGGATTCATATGTATCTGTGGCGGTGTTCTCTGAAAATTATGCTGCTTCAAGATGGTGCTTGGATGAACTCACCCATATACTCCATTGCAAAAGAGTTCAAGGACAGATTGTTATTCCTGTCTTCTATAAAGTCGACCCATCTCATGTACGCAAGCAGACTGGCCTTTACGAGCAAGCATTTGAGAGATATGAGAGAGATCTCAAGGTTGACCAACACAAGATGCAAATGTGGAAGCAAGCTCTTAATGAAACTGCAAATTTAGCTGGTTATGACTCTCACACATTTAGGTAATTAATAAATTCATTAATTTTTTTCTGTTCACAAAAGATGGAGTTTGCAGAGATTTACGTGATGGATCAAATGATTAAGACATTCTATTCAATTTTTAGTAAACATTTTTAGGTCTTCATCATTTATCATTTATATTTATACACTCTATACAATTTATTCTTTGTTTATTTATCACTTATCATTTATCATTTGCTTTTAATAAATCAATTTTTTCTGCTTAATTGCGCTTTTCTTTTTTTGCCTTTTATTTTTCTTATGTCAGGGATGAATCCGAATTGATTCAAAAGATCGTCAAAGACATATTGCAGAAACTGAATCACAAGTACCCCCAGCTGAACTAAAAGGACTCATAGGCATTGAGGACAACTGCGCAGAGATTGAATTATTGTTGACAGATTTCCAAACCATTGGAATATGGGGCATGGGGGGCATCGGCAAGTCAACCATTGCCAAAACCATATTTTTAAGATATTCTTCTGATTATGATTATTCTTGGTTCTTGGAAAATGTAAGAGAAGGGTCTAAAAATGGACTTACTGAATTACGCCGTAAATTTCTCTCTCGTCTGCTAAGGGATGATTCCCTTATTGATACTTCAACCTCTTTTCTTGAGTCAAGGCTTAGTCATATGAAGGTTTTTGTTGTTCTTGATGATATCAGTACGGAGGCGCAATTAGAAGAGTTGATTGGAGAACCTTTTTGCTTTGGGCCAGGAAGTAAAATTCTCATCACAACAAGGGACAAGCATGTGCTTAGCAAAGGAGTTGATGTAATATATAAGGTTAAGGAATTGAAGTTCCATCAATCCCTTGAACTTTTCAGCTTAAATGCCTTCAGCACTAGCTTGCCGATAATGGGATATGAAGAACTGACAGACAGGGCAGTTGTTTATGCACAAGGAATTCCATTGGCTTTAAAAGTCCTGGGTTCATATCTTCGTGGCAGAAGTGAGGTTGAATGGAAGAGTGCTTTAAGCAAACTTAAGAAGAGTCCTCATCCAGGTATTCAAAAGGTGTTAAGGTTGAGTTATGATGGATTGGATGATGAGGAGAAGAAAATATTTCTAGACATCGTGTGCTTTTTTAAGGGAGAACCGACAGAATTTGTAATCAGTTTATTAGATAGCTTTGGCTTCTCTGGAGCAATTGGGATAAGAATACTTCATGACAAGGCTCTTATAGAAGTCTATGATGGTTCATGTGTTGAAATGCATGATTTAATACAAGAAATGGGTTTACAAATAGTTCGTGAAGAGTCTAATGAACCTGGAAGACGTAGTCGATTATGCAATCTTGAAGAAATTTATGATGTTTTAGCTAATAACATGGTAAGAAATTCATACTTTCTTTTCTAACCTATATACTTGTTACTTTATGAATAATGTGAATGTAGTTACAATATAATTTACTTACTATGGTTTCTTTACTCTCTTTTTTAAGGGATCAAAGAAAGTTGAAGGAATAATGTTGGATGTTTCTCAAATTAAAGATGTACATTTGGAAGCTGACATTTTCAAGAAGATGCCTAATATGAGATTTCTCCAATTTTATTCTGGCAGCAGCTCAGGTCATGTGCACCTTCCAGAAGGTCTCAAATTTCTTCCTAATAAGATGAGGTATCTAGAGTGGCATGGATTCCCTCTTAAATCTCTGAGGTCCACTTTTTGTCCTGAAAAACTTGTTGAGCTCTACCTACCCCATAGCCATTTACAAAAGCTTTGGAACGGAGTGCAGGTATGTATAAAATTATTTGTGTTTCATGTTTTTCATTTAATTGAAACTTGTTGGTGATCTCATTTGAACTTTCTACCTATCTTTGTTGGTATAGGATTTTGTGAGCTTAGAAGTGATAGACCTCAGTCGTTCCAAACAACTACAAAAGCTGCCGAATCTCTCCAAATGCTTGAATCTCAAAGTGGTAAAACTTGAGAATTGCAAAAGTTTGTGCTCTGTTCATTCCTCAATTTTGTCTCTCCACTCGCTTGTTGAGTTGAACTTATATAAGTGCAAGAAACTTGAGAGGCTAAAAAGTGAGTTACATTTAAGATCTCTACAAGATATCAATGTGATGGGGTGCTGGAATCTCAAGGAGTTCTCAGTGTCCTCGGATGAACTGAGAGAATTGGATTTAGAATCAACAGGAATTGAAATCTTGCACTCGTCTGAAGCGCGTTCAAGTAAATTGGAAGAGCTCAATCTTAGAGGCTCAAGACTTGTGAACCTTCCTGACCAGTTATCTTGCTTGACAAGTTTGACGGTTCTTAATCTTGAACACTGTGAAATCATTGATGATTTGAAGCTACATATCTTTTTTGATGGCATGTTGTCTTTAAAAGCAGTGTACCTGCTTGAGTGCGGTAACATAATTGAACTCCCTAATAATACTAAGCATCTTCTAGGATTGAAGTTGCTTAGGGTATGGAATTGTAGGAGGCTTCGTTCTTTACCGGAACTGCCACCATCCATTAACTGCCTAATTGCCATTAGTTGCAAGTCGTTGGAAATTGTGTCAACTTGTAAACCATCAAGTGGTGACCCAATAGACTTCTCATTCAGGAACTGTATGCAACTGAATGAACAATCGCTTCACAATATCATGGAGGCAGCTGCCTATTCTATGACTTACTATTTATTGCATAAAAGTAAGAATTACTGGGGTCATTGTTTGGTTTGTGTTCCCGGAAGCAGAGTACCGGAGTGGATCAAATACAGGGCAGCACAAAGCTCTATAACTGTTGAACTCCCTCAAATTTCAGACTCAATGGGTTTCTTCTTCTGCATTGTACTTGATGTTCACTCAGAAATTTACTGTGATAGTCAAAGATTGATCTGCTCATGCTGCTGGGAAGGTTTTCCGACGGGACATTCAGTACTTGTAGATGCTTTTGGAGCTATGAACTCTGATGATGTTTTTATATGGGCTGCCGTAGCAGATGAAACAATAGTGAATGAAATTAGAAGAAGAAATCAACAGTTGTTCACTAACATAAAGACTCGTTTTGAATTCTCTGCTGTACCTTTTGGGGATAACCCACTGATCTCTGGCAAAAGCAAGTCAATGATCAAAGAATGCGGGGTGTGGCCAGTATCTGTCGCAGAATGTCAGAAATTTGTTGAGCAAATGGAAATAGAGAGGAAAAGGAAGAGACCTCACGATGTTGAAGAGCAACAACCACCGCCTCACTTAAAAAAAAATGGAGTTTGATGAGGGTACACATGCCAGCACTTAAAGAGTAGATATAATCTGAACTCCCTTCTTTATTCTTTAGGCAAGTAATCTCCCCCCCCCCCCCCCAAAACTGCTTTATTTATTAGGCCTCTATTTTTGCATTTTCCTCATGAACAGTGTTTATATAAAGAAGGATTTGAAAATCTATTTTGAAGAAGAAAAACTAATAAAGCAAGTTAGATTGTCTTTTACACACTAAGCTATTTTTTTTATACCTGAACAATCTAATTCTAGATAAGTTTAATTGAGGGAGACTAGTTAAAGTGGTTCATAGGTATTTTTGAAGGAATTTGAAAGATGAAAGAAGAAGAAATAAGGAAAAATACGTTAAAAATAGACTATTATATAATTAAATAGCTTAGCTAGCATTGGTCAAAGCATTGTTTCACAACATGCATTGGTCAACATTGTAGGTGGCGTTAAAATTATGGGAAGAAAATTGAACATAATTTAGGGTTTGAGGAAATGTTTTGAAGCTTGCTCGCATAAGCCCATTTCTCTGGATGCTTCCCAATTTTTGTTGTCTCTTTACCTGGTTTCTATTTTTGCATTTTATTTTTCACATAAATTAAGAACAAGTGTTTATCATTTAATTTGTCTGTCTACTGGGTTAGGCATGAAAATGTGTGCTAGATGGTTTGAAATCACAAGCAGATCGAATCTACAACCTCCTACTTGTAAAAAAATGTTTATATCACTAGGTTACAATGTAATTGGTGTTATTTTACTTATATGATATTAAGAAAATTGAACTTTTTCTGCATTAAATGAAGAATCTCATTCTTAGAGGCACCTTGTTTAGATTCCTCTTAAAGTTTTGCAAGTGCAATTTGTCATCGCATATTAAAATTTTTTCCCCTTCTCTTGATGGAAGTGATTCTTGATTCTTTGAAAGCAGGTTGTCTTCAACTGTAAATTCTGATTCAAACAACGGAAATACATTTATACTATTTATGCACTACAATTATTAATTATAACAACATGCAAATTGCAATGTAGGAATCAAAATAATCAATCGTAAAGCCCACCTAACATTTTTCTTTCTCAATTTCTTTCAATACTTCATCCAACTCTCTTGTTTGCAGGATTTGTGAGTTGTGGCATATGACTCAGGATCTCCAGAAATCTTAATGGAGTGATGATTAGCAGCTTATCATTATAATTGAGAATATTAATCTTCTTCTTCTTCTATCATCCTCTCACTTTATTTAGGGATCACACTCTTACAAGTGAAGTGTCAGTCAGGTAAGGGAAAAGATAAGAACAAGGATAACTGAGAATTGAATATGGCTTTTGCTGGTTAGAAAGAGTATTTTGAATTGTGTGAAAAGAGCAATGTATATGTGCTGGTACTAGCATGCTTTATGGACATAATCTTGTGTGGTTGGGTTGTTTTATTGATAATTTGAAGTACCACATTTGTCTGATTTTACACGGGTATCTTAAGGATTCAAACAACTCAATTGAGGATGTTCGAGACTTGGTCTTCGGATTTTGTCAAGTTCCCAGCGTGTTTTCATTTGACAAAAAGTGTTTTGAATTGTCAATGTTGCAGACATAAATAGTATCTTATGGCTATTATTATTAGCGAAGCTTTCTATTTTAATTTTAATTTTAATTTGATAAAAAGAGATATATATATATATATATATAATGTTTATTTTATCTCTCATCATATTACAGTTTCAATTTAACTTTGTAGATGGTATTCCAATGGGCAAGCTACTTGGAGGGTAGGAAACTACAAGAAGGAATCAACAGTAGTTCACTGACATAAAGCTTTTTTCCTTTTTTTCCAAACGGCTTGAACATAAAGCTTTGCTTTGAATTCACCGTTGAGGCTTATATTTGACCGCCTAGGTTTAATAGGAAATTTTGTTGCAACAAAAGTCTGGTTGTCTGTGTGTTGGGATTTAGAAGCATGGCCAGCGAGGTTACCCCTGACAGCTTAAGAAGAGTGTTGCGGCCGCCATTTTGTCCAACAAAAGTACTGCCTTTGACTTTTAACAGAAAATCAAGTTGGCTAATTTAAGAAGATTAAAAAAATTATTAAATTATTTTAAAATATTTATATTTATTGTTTTTCCCCACACTAATAATTCTTGTTTATAAAGTTTGTGCTCTGTTCATTCTTCAATCTTGTCTCCCCACTCACTTGTTGAGTTGAACTTATTTGGGTGCGTGAAACTTGGGAGTTTAAAAAGCGAGTTACATTTAAAATCTCTAAAGCATATCAATGTGATAAATTGCTGGAATCTCAAGGAGTTCTCAGCGTCATCGGATGAACTGAGAGGATTGGATTTAGGTAACGGAGGAATTGAAATCTTGCACTCGTCTGTGGGGTGTTCAAGTAAATTGGAAGAGCTCTGTCTCAGTGGCTCAAGGATTGTGAACCTTCCCAACCAATTATCTTGCCTGACAAATTTGATGATTTAAAGCTACAAGTCTTAGTTGATGGCATGTTGTCTTTAAGAAAAGTGGAACTGATTGATTGTTGGAATTTAATTGAACTCCCCAGTAATACTAAACACTTTTTAGGATTGAAATCTCTTAGCATAAGGGGCTGTAGGAGGCTTCGTTCTTTACCAGAACTACCAGCATCCATTGCAAACCTACAATGCGATGATTGCAAGTCGTTGGAAATTGTGTCAACTTGTAGACCATCAAGTGGTGATCCAGTAGACTTGTCATTCAAGAATTGTGTGCAACTGAACGAACAATCGCTTCACAATATCATAGAGGCTGCTGTTTGTTCCATACCTTATTATTTATCGCATAAAAATAAGAATTACAGGGATCGTTGTTCGATTTGTGTTCCGAGAAGCAGAGTACCAGAGTGGTTAAAATGCAGGGCAGCACAAAGCTCCGTGATTTTTGAATTCCCTCGAATTTCAGACTCAGCGGATTTCTTCTTCTGCGTTGTGCTCGGTGGTCATTCAGAAATTAATTTTAGGATTTCTTTGAAATGCACATGCTACTTGGAAGGTTTTGATACGGCACATTCAGAACTTGAACTGGTTTTTCGAGAAATGAAACCCGATCATGTTTTGATATGGAATGCTGCCTTGGCATATAAAGGGATAATGGATGAAATTAGAAGAAGAAATCAACAGTTGTTCACTAACATAAAGCTTCGCTTTGAATTCTCTGCTGTAATTTATGGGTTTAGGAAGTTAATGATCTCTGGCAAAAGGACAAGAAGAAAGTTAATGCTCAAAGAATGGGGGGTGTGCCCAGCCTATGTCTCAAAATGTGAGAAATTTGTTGAGTAAATGGAAATAGAGAGGAAAAGGAAGAGGCCTCAAGATGTTGAAGAGCAACAACTACCACTTTAGTTAAAAAAAAAAGAAGAAAAAAGATCGACTTTGATGAGGGTACCCATGGCAACAAATGTCCTCTCCCCCCCCCGCACACGTGTATTCTAGTGGAGATTTAAAAGTTTGTTAGGTATACTCTCAAATTAATGAAATGGGTACCCTACTTTGAGAGTGGATATAACTTGAACTACTTTCTCTAGGCAAGCACTCTCTCTCTCTCTCTGTATGATTATTTTTTCCCTCTGTTAAGCTTCTATTTCTGCATTTTCCTCATTAATTTAGGATGTCTATTCTTGACTATCTCTTCAGCTCGGCCTAAAAGCGTGGCCAGACCATCAAACATGGTGGGGGGGGGGGGAAGAAGAAGAAAGACAAAGTCAATTGAATTTTAATTAGATGGAAAAAGAGAAGACTGAGTTATATAAAAAAGGAATTGAAAATATATTTTGGAAAAAAAATACTAATAAAGCAAGTGAGATTGTCTTATATGCACTAAGCTATTTTTCATACTCGAACAATCTAATTCTAATGAAACTATGCTTTAGTGTAAGATTTCTAAAATTTGCAGATTAATTTAATTGAGGGAGACTAGTTAAATTGATTCACTGGTATTTTTGAAGGAATTTAGAAAATGAATGGAGAAGAAATAAGGAGAAATAGGTTAAAAATAAATTATTATATAATTAAATAGCTTAGCTAGTATAGGTTAAAACATCGGGTTAAGACAACATTAAAATAGGGGGGATAAAACTGAACATAACTTAAGGTTTAAGGATTTATTTTGACGCTTGCTCATATAAGCTCATTTCTTCAGATGTTTTCTAATTGTTCTGTCTCTTTACCAGGTTTCTATTTTTGCATTTTATTTTCCTCATAAATTAAGAAAAATTGTTTATTCTTTAATTTGTTTGTCTATTGAGTTAGGCATGAAAGCGCATGCTAAATGGTTTGAAATTACAAACGGATCAAACCTGCAGCCTCCTACTTGTCAAAAAAAAATTTATGCCACTAGGTTGCAGTGTTATGGGCATTATTCACTACAAAAAAACAGCTGATTAGCGACGGAATTTGCGACGGAAACAAATTCGGTCGCTAATTTCTGACGGAATTATGACGGAAATTCCGTCGCTAATTTTTTCGACGGATTAGTGACGGATCACCGACGGAATTTTTGTCCGTCGCTAATTCGTCAGAAAATCCGTCAATAAATATTTAGCAACGGAATTAGCGATGGAATCTTTTTCCGTTAGAAAATTCCATCACTAATCCGTCAAAAAAATTAGCGACGGAAATTCCATCGCAATTCCGTTAGAAATTAGCGATGGAATTTGTTTCCGTCACAAATTTTAAGAAAATAAATTATATAGGATATATATACAAGTAGGAGAATACTGTTTATCATAATCTATTTAAATTATTTAATTTTTTATATAGAATAATTTATTAGATTTTATTATAATAGTTATTTTTTGAATAACAAGATTTTTTGACTAATTGTAAATGATTTTCTTCAAATATATAAAACACATATACATAATATAATATATGTAATTAAATTGTATATCTTGTCAATGTTAATTAAAAATAAATTTAAAAATATTTATAAAAAATATTTATGATTTAAAATTCAAAATTAGTGTCGTTAGAAATTAAAATTATATTAAAAATATTTTTTTAAAAAATAAAACATTATAAAAAATAGTAAAACAAATATTTAAAAATTATTTTTTCATTAAAATAGTTATGATTAAAATTATCATATAGTATATTTTTAGTTTTTAATAATATATATGTATATATAATTGTTCGAGTAAAATAATATAATATATATTTAATTTTACATAATAAGTCAACAGGTTCATTGCAGCTCAACTGGTAAAGCCGTACGTGCACATGGAGGAGGTCCTAGGTTCAAACCATGGAGAAGTCACTTTGAGGAAGGAATTATGTGGTGATAACACGTGGCGCACACATGGTAGGTAGAGGTGAGGTGGCAGGCACATGTGGTAGGCAGAGGTGTGACACGTGGCAGGTGGAGGTGAGGTGGCAGCGACACATACTGGTGATCCCCAGTGATGGCGTGGCAATTGGTAGAGATGCCATGTGGCATTTTATTTTATTTTTTAAAAAATCGAGTTAGTGACGGAATTTTTCCGTCGCTAATTTGTGATAGAAATTTCTATCAAGAATTAGCGACGGAAAAATTCCGTCGGTAATTAGCGACGGAATTGAAATTCCGTCATTAATCAATTAGCAACAAAGGAATTAGCGACGAAACAAATTCCGTCGCTAATTCCGTCATTAAATAAAAAATTTCGTCGCTAAATTCCGTCACTAAAAGCATATTTTTTTGTAGTGATTTTACTCATATGATATTAGGAAAATTAAACTTATTTTATCTCACTTTGTTTAGGGGTCACCCTCTAACAGGCAAAGTCTCAGGTAAGGAAAAAGAGAAGTGTGAGGAGAAATTGAGAATTGAATATGGCTTTTGCTGGTTATAAATTGCATTTTGAATTGTGTGAAAGAGAATGTATATTTGCTGGTTACTAGCATGCTTTATGGACATATTCTGGTGTGGTTGGTTTGTTTTATTGATAATTTGAAGTACCACATATTTGTATGATTTTACACAAGTATCTTGAGGATGTTGTAGACTTGGTCTTCGAATTTTGTCAAGTTGACCAGAGTGTTTCCTGTTGAAGATGTTGTAGACATAAGTAGTATCTGATGGTTATTATTATTAGCAAAGCTTTTTATTTTAATTTGATAAAAAGAGAGATACATTGTGTTTATTTTATCTCTCATCACATTATAATTTCATTCTTGTTTTTATTTTTATATTATTTTTTAAGGACTAGGGATATTTCCAAGACTGTAAAATCACCAGTTGTAAGCTGTGGGTTTAATTGCATCCTCTGCCCACTATTTCCGCATAATTTAGATTCTTCTCCATATTTTTCTCGTCATTCTAGATTTTTATCCCCTCTAATAGAAGTTACGATAGTGGAAAAAAAACGAAATTTTCAGAGCAAAGGAGAAACTAATTAAATGGTGCTGATATGAGATTAGTATCAACTACTAGGATACTCCAATATTTCCTCAAATGAATAACTGATTGTTATCATATGATGCAGAACTCAACATGGAATCCCAACTAGTTTGATCCCTTTTATCATCATCTACTAGTATTAAATTATGGTTTCAAGGGAGACAAAAATATATAACAATGATTTTGAATACACAATATAACAGGACATATCATGTTCTTATTTTAAAAATTATAACAAGACACGGAAACAAGTAATTGAAACATGATAAATATTTGTTAAGAAAAATCGTTTGACACCTGGAACAGAAGACAATGCCATGAAAGGATCATGCAGGTGCAGCTTTCAGGGAAAGAAAATCCGAAATTTTGTTGGTATAGAAGTCTGGTTGTATGTTGTTGTTAGGATTCTGAAGCATGGCCAATGGGGTTACCCCTGGCAGCACAAGAAGAGTTTTGCGGCCGCCATTTTGTCCGAACAAAATATCAGTGTCTAGTCTGACCCCAACCATGCAAATCTGTCATTTGGGGATATCAGACCAGATTCAGGGCAAGCTTCTTGACCAAAATGTCAAGTTCTTTCATTCATACGTCAAGAATGCAAAATAGGGAAATGTAAAAGCTTACTTGCTTAGCTAAGTAGTCTATCATAGAAGTTGAGGGCTTTCCAACCACTAGGGTCTCACGTTGTGTAGATCCACTAATAGCACCAACCAGAGATCCCCCACCTAAAATCAATTAGATATCGTACTAATTATTGGAGCATTAGATAGATTATTAACTTCAGGGGGGAAGTATGAGGAAATTTCATATTGATAAGAAAGTTTTAATGATGTCTATACTGAAACTTGAAGTACAGCTCAACAGGATGAAATCTGAAATACTTTAAATGAGCCTACATAATATATTAAAATCTGAAATACTTATCTCAAAAATAATTTAAATGATTATAAAAATTTCAAGCAAGCCTTACTCTTATCTAATTTTCCCAATAGTTATTAATGTTTTTCTAAGTAATTCTTTCTTAGCTTGGATTTATTGTTGTAAGGCAGGGGAATTAAACTCAAGGAAACTGGAAATTAATTTGAAGTTCATCAGTAACTAACCCCAGTTTAACGTTTCAGATTAGAGAATAACAACTTATCTTCTTGACTACCAAGTCACAAAGTTGTACTCTTTTGATGATGAAGGCTAATCAAATCAATCCCTCCTTCCTGGAAATTGCATGGCATCCACAGACGCGCCTCCTCATTAATTAGCCTCACTTGTTGACTGAAAGTCATAAAGTGGCACACTGTTAATTACATTCTTCAAGGAAATTACTAAGCCTATCAAAACAAAACCGCGCAGCCTGTTTCTTTTTCCACTCGTCTGCATCTTCTGATACTCCATCTTTGATTTATTTTCAAAAAGTTCCCAATACTATACAGTGCTCTTCCTGCTGCTCGATCAGATAGAGATATGGCCCTGGTCGCTGCCTCATCCTCTTCCTCTGCTCAATCCCTCCCCAAGAGGAATGATGTTTTCATCAGCTTTAGGGGTGAGGACACTCGCTCCAACTTCACACTAGCCATCTTTATGATGCTTTTTGCAGAAAACAAATCAGAACCTACATAGACTACCAACTCGTGAAAGGAGATGAGATCTCACCATCACTTCTGCAAGCTATCGAGGATTCATATGTATCAGTGGTGGTGTTCTCTGAAAATTATGCTTCTTCAAGATGGTGCTTGGATGAACTCGCCCATATACTCCATTGCAAAAGGGTTCAAGGACAGATTGTCATTCCTGTCTTCTATAAAGTCGACCCATCTCATGTACGCAAGCAGACTGGCATTTACAAGCAAGCATTTGAGAGATATGAGAGAGATCTCAAGGTTGACCAACACAAGATGCAAATGTGGAAGCAAGCTCTCAATGAAACTGCAAACTTAGCTGGTTATGACTCTCACACGTTCAGGTAATTAATAAACTCATTAATTTTCTTCTATTCATAAATGATGGCGTTTGCAGAGATTTACGTGATGGATCAAATGATTAAGACATTCTATTCAATTTTTGGTAAACATTTTTAGGTCTTTATCATTTATCATTTATATTTATACACTCTACAATTTACTGTCTGTTTATTTATCACTTATCATTTATCATTTGTCTTTAATAAATCAATTTCTTGAGCTTAATTGCGATTTTTCCTCTTTGGCCTTTTATTTTTCTTATGTTAGGGATGAATCCGAATTGATTCAAAAGATTGTCAAAGACATATTGCAGAAACTGAATCACAAGTACCCCACAGCTGAACTAAAAAGACTCATAGGCATTGAGGACAACTGCGCAGAGATTGAATTATTGTTGAAAGATGCCAAAACAAAAACCATTGGAATATGGGGCATGGGGGGTATCGGCAAGTCAACCATTGCCAAAACTATATTTTTAAAATATTCTTCCCATTATGATTATTCTTGGTTCTTGGAAAATATAAGAGCAAAGTCTAAAAATGGACTTACTGAATTACGCCGTAAATTTCTCTCTCGTCTACTAAGGGATGATTCCCTTATTGATACTTCAACCTCTTTTCTTGAGTCGAGGCTTAGTCGTATGAAGGTTTTTGTTGTTCTTGATGATATCAGTACGGAGGGGCAATTAGAAGACTTGGTTGGAGAACCTTTTTGCTTTGGGCCAGGAAGTAAAATTCTCATCACAACAAGAGACAAGCACGTGCTTAGCAAAGGAGTTGACATAATATATAAGGTTAAGGAATTGGAGTTCCATCAATCCCTCGAACTTTTCAGCTTGAATGCCTTCAGCACTAGCCTACCCATAATGGGGTATGAAGAACTAACAAAAACGGCAGTTGTTTACGCACAAGGAATTCCGTTGGCTTTAAAAGTTTTGGGTTCATATCTTCGTGGTAGAAGTGAAATTGAATGGAAGAGTGATTTAAGGAAACTTGAGAAGAGTCCTCATCAAGATATTCAAAAGGTGTTAAGGTTGAGTTATGATGGATTGGATGAGGAGGAGAAGGCAATATTTCTAGACATTGCTTGCTTTTTGGTGGGACAGCTGACAGAATTTGTAATCAGTTTATTAGATAGCTTTGGCTTCTGTGGAGCAATTGGGGTAAGAACGCTTCATGACAAAGCTCTCATAGACGTCTGTGATGGTTCACGTGTTGAAATGCATGATTTAATACAACAAATGGGTTTGCAAATAGTCCGTGAAGAGTGTATTGATGAACCTGGAAGACGTAGTAGATTATACAATTTTGAAGAAATTTATGATGTTTTGGCTAATAACATGGTAAGAAATTCATACTTTCTTTTCTAACCTATATACTTGTTACTTTATGAATAATGTGAATGTAATTACTATATAATTTACTTCCTATGTTTTCTTTACTCTCTTTTTTAAGGGATCAAAGAAAGTTGAAGGAATAATGTTGGATGTTTCTCAAATTAAAGATGTACATTTGGAAGCTGACATTTTCAAGAAGATGCCTAATATAAGATATCTCAAATTTTATTCTAATAGTTATTCTCCTTTCCACACTTCCTCAAGTCATGTGCACCTTCCAGAAGGTCTCAAATTTCTTCCTAATAAGTTGAGGTATCTAGAGTGGTATGGATTCCCCCTTAAATCTCTGCCGTCCACTTTTTGTCCCGAAAAACTTGTTGAGCTCCGCATGCGCGATAGCCATCTACAAAAGCTTTGGAACGGAGTTCATGTATGTATAACCTTATTTGTGTTTCATGTTTTTCATTCAGTTGAAACGTCTCGGTGTCCTCATTTGAACTGTCTCTCTTTGCTGGTATAGGATTTTGTGAGCTTACAAGAGATAGACCTTAGTGGTTCCAAACAACTACAAGAGCTGCCTAATCTCTCCAAATGCTTGAATCTCAAAGTGGTGGAACTTGAGCAATGCGAAAGTTTGTGCTCTCTTCATTCCTCAATCTTGTCCCTCTACTCGCTTGTTGAGTTGAACTTACGCGACTGCAAGAAACTTGAGAGTCTAAAAAGTGAGTTACATTTAAGATCTCTAGAATATATCGACGTGTTCAGGTGCTGGAATCTCAAGGAGTTCTCAGTGTCATCGGATGAACTGAGAGACTTGGAATTAGACGAAACAGGAATTGAAATCTTGCACTCGTCTGTAGCGCGTTCAAGTAACTCGAAAAGTATCGGTCTTAGAGGCTTAAGACTTGTGAACCTTCCCGACCAATTATCCTGCTTGACAAGTTTGAATGCTCTTAGGCTTTACGACTGTGAAATCATTGATGATTTGAAGCTACATATCTTTTTCGATGGCATGTTGTCTTTGAGAGAAGTGACGCTGAAGAGGTGCGGTAACATAATTGACCTCCCCAGTAACACTAAGCATCTTTTAGGATTGAGATATCTTGACGTAATGGGTTGTAGGAGGCTTCGTTCTTTACCAGAACTACCACCATCCATTGCAACCCTAATTGCCGATGATTGCAAGTCGTTGGAAATTGTGTCAACTTGGAGATCAAGTGGTGATCAAATGTACTTCAGATTCAATAACTGTGTGCAACTGATTGAACAATCGCTTCACAATATCATGGAGGCTGCTGCTTATTCTATACCTTATTGTTTATTGCATAAATATAAGTACATGGGTGATTGTTCGATTCATAAATATAACTCCATCCATCGTTATACGATTTGTGTTACCGGAAGCAAAGTACCAGAGTGGATCAAATACAGGGCAGCACAAAGCTCCGTAACTATTGAACTCCCTCAAATTTCAGACCTGACGAGTTTCTTCTTCTGCATTGTAGTTGATGTTCATTCAGAAATTAACGGTGGAAGTCAAGCTTTTGGGTGCACATGCTACTTGGAAGGTTTTAAAGCGGCAGATTCAACACATGGCACGGTTCTTCCAGATATGAAATCTGATGATGTTTTTATATGGACTGATGACTCAGCAAGTCAAATGATTGTGGATGAAATTCGAAGCAGAAATCAACAGTCTTTCGCTAACGTAAAGCTTCGCTTCGAATTCTCTGCGTATAACCATGCAATGATCCCTAGCAAACGAGAAACAAGCAAGTTAATGATCAAAGAATGCGGGGTGTGGCCAGTATCTGTCTCAGAATGTCAGAAATTTGTTGAGCAAATGGAAATAGAGAGGTAAAGGAAGAGGCCTCACAATGTTGAAGACCAACAACCACCGCCTCACTTAAAAAGAAATCAAGTTTGATGGGGGTACGCATGCCAACACCTAGAGAGTGGATATAATCTGAACTCACTTCTTTATTCTTGAGGCAAGTAATCTCTCTCTCTCGTTGTTTTATCTCTCTATTAGGCTTCTATTTTTGCATTTTCCTCGTGAATGGTGTTTATATAAAGAAGGATATGAAAATTTATTTTCCGGAAAAAAAAAAACTAATAAACCAAGTGAGATTGTCTTTTATAGTGTAAGCTTTTTTCTTTTTTCTTTTTTTTTACACTTGAACAATCTAATACTAATTAAACTAGGCTTTAATGTAAGATTCCTGAAATTTGTAGATAAGTTTAATTGAGGGAGACTAGTTAAGATGGTTCATTGGTATTTTTGAAGGAATTTAAAAGATGAAAGAAGAAGAAATAAGGAGAAATAGGTTAAAAATAAAATATATAATTAAATAGCTTAGCTAGCATTGATCAGAGCATTGTCTTACAACTGATATCGGTCAACATTGTCAGTGGCATTAAAATCAGGGGAAGAAAATTGAACATAATTTAGGGTTTGAGGAAATTTTTTGAAGCTTTCTTGCATAAGCTCACTTCTTCAGATGTTTTCCAATTGTTGTGTCCCTTTACCGGGTTTCTATTTTTACATTTTATTTTTCACATAAATTAAGAACAAGTGTTTATCATTTAATTTGTTTTGCCTATTGGGTTAGACATGAAAGTGCGTGCTAAAGGGTTTGAAATCACAAGCAGATGGAACCTACAACCTCCTACTTGTAAAAAAATATTTATGCCACTAGGTTACAATGTAATTCATGTTATTTTACTTATATGGTATTAAGAAAATTGAACTTTTTTACATCAAATGAAGAATCTCATTCTTAGAAGCGCCTTGTTCAGATTCCTCTTAAAGGTTTGCACGTGCAATTTGTTATCGCATATTAAATTTTAATGGAGTGATGATTAGTGGCTTATCATTATAATTGAGAATGTTAATCTTCTTCTTCTATCATCCTCTCACTTTATTGAGGGGTCACACTCTTACAGGTGAAGTGTCAGTTAGAGAAAGGAAAAGAGAAGAATAAGGAGTAACTGAGAATTGAATATGGCTTTTGCTGGTTATAAAAAGTATTTTGAATTGTGTGAAAAGAGTAATGTATATGTGCTGGTACTGGCATGCTTTATAGACATAATCTTGTGTGGTTGGGTTGTTTTATTGATAATTTGAAGTACCACATTTTTCTGATTTTACACAGGTATCTTAAGGATTCAAACAACTCAATTGAGGATGTTCGAGAGTTGGTCTCCGGATTTTGTCAGGTTCCCAGAGTGTTTTCATTTGATAGAAAGAGTGTTCTGAATTGAAAATGTTGCAGACATAAACAGTATCTTATGGTTATTATTATTAGCAAAGCTTTCTATTTTAATTTGATAATAAAAAAGAGATATATATAATGTTTATTTTATCTCTCATCATATTACAGTTTCAATCTGACTTTGTAGATGGTATTGAAATGAGCAAGCTACTTGGAATATAGGAAATTACAAGAAGGAATCAACAGCAGCTCACTGACATAAAGCTCCCCTCTCCCCCCCCCCCAAAAAAAAAAAAAAAACAGCTTGAACATAAAGCTTTGCTTTGAATTCACCGTTGAGGCTTATATTTGACCGCCCAGGTTTAATAGGAAATTTTGTTGGAACAAAAATCTGGTTGTATTTGTGTTGTTGGGATTCAGAAGCATGGCCAAAAAGGTTACCCCTGACACTTGAGAAGAGTTTTGCAGCCACCATTTTGTCCAAACAAAGTACTACGTTTAGCTCTTAATAGAAGATCAAATTAACTAATTTAAAAATATTAGGAAAGTTATTAAATTACTTTAAATATTTATATTTATCGTTTTTTCTAGATTGTTCTCATTTATACATTTATAAATTGATGTATAATCTAATCTGTTTCTTACTATCTCGTCCTCTGATCTCTATTTCTATAACCATTCTCCAGACTCTTCTCTGTTTGCATCAGAAGAAGTGTGTGTTGCATCATTGTTCCTTTGTTCAGGTATCACTTTTTACTGGTGGAGCCTCGAATAAGGAAACAAAGAAGCATGAGGAGAATTGAATATTGCGTGTGCTAGTTACACAGTGCATTTTGAACTATTTGAAAATATTGTTATACTACCTCCGGTCATTATATAAGAATTAGTTTGACTTTTAATTATTTTTAAAAATAAGATCTCAATTTACTTTGTCTTTTATATTTATCTATTTTTTTAAAGTAGTCTTTATAATAATTGCACATGTCAAATGTTCAATTAAATAGTAGTTTTAACTAATATATGATTAGTAAAAATTTTTGTAAAGATAATATCTAAATAATTAACTTAACAAATTTTTCTAATCTATTTAAATTAGTTAACTAATTTTTATATTAAGAAGACGAGCTAGTATATATGTTACGTATGTCATATTTAGTGTAATAGAGTGGGCCCTTTTTGCGCATGGCAGTCCTTAAACAAAATTTTCCCTTCAATTAACGTGTCACTTTTTGACTGAAGTCATAAAGTGGCAGACTTTACATGAAGAATCAATCCCATCCTTCAAGGAAATTGCTGGCCTATCAAAACAGAACCGTGTGGCCTCTTTCTTTCCACTAATTATCTGCAGCTTCTGATACTTATCTCTGATTTATTTTCAAAGTTCTCGATAAAACACAGCGCTCTCCCTGCTGCTCGGTCGCATAGACATGGCCTTTGAAGCTGCTTCATCCCCTTCTTCTGCTCAATCCCTCCCCAAGAAGAATGATGTTTTCATCAGCTTCAGGGGTGAGGACACTCGCTCCAACTTCACTAGCCATCTTTATGATGCTTTTTGCAGAAAACACATCAGAACCTACATAGACTACCAACTCGACAAAGGAGATGAGATCGCACCATCACTTCTGCAAGCTATCGAGGATTCGTATGTGTCTGTGGTGGTGTTCTCTAAAAATTATGCTTCTTCAAGATGGTGCTTGGATGAGCTCACCCATACTCCATTGCAGAAGGGTTCAAGGACAGACTGTTGTTCCTGTCTTCTATAAAGTTGAGCCATCTCATGTACGCAATCAGACTGGGGTTTACAAGCAAGCATTTGAGAGTGATCTCAAGGTTGACCAACACAAGATGGACATGTGGAAGCAAGCTCTTAATGAAGCTGCAAACTTAGCGGGTCATGACTCTCACACGTTCAGGTAATTAACAAATGATTATTTTTTTCCTGTTCACAAATGATGGCGTTGGCAGTGAGTTACGTGATGGATCAAATGATCAAGACATTCTAGTCAATTTTCTGATAACTAGTTTGATGTGTTCCTGGGACACACACACACTATTCAATTTATCCTTCGTTTATTTATCACTTATCTTTTTGTCTTTCATAAATCTTTTTTTCCGCTTAATATTGCTTTTCCTTTTGGCCTTTTATTTTTTGTATTTTAATTTAGGGATGAATCTGAATTGATTCAAAATATAGTCAAAGGGATATTGCAGAAATTGAATCACAAGTACCCCCCTACTGAACTAAAAGGACTCGTAGGTATCGATGACAACTGCAAAAAGATTGAATTATTGTTGAGAGACACTAAAACCATTGGAATATGGGTATGGGAGGCATCGGCAAATCAACCATTGCCAAAACTATATTTTTAAAAATATTCTTTCCATTATGAAGGTTCCTGCTTCTTGGAAAACGTAAGAGAAAAGTCTAGAAACGGACTTACTGAATTACGCCATAAATTTCTCTCCCGTCTCCTAAAGGAAGATCTCTCTATTGATACTTCAACCACTTTTATTGAGTCTAGGCTAAGTCGTATGAAAGTTTTTGTTGTTCTTGATGATATTAGTACGGTGGAGCAATTAGAATGTTTGGTTGGAGAGCCTTTTTCCTTTGGGCTAGGAAGTAAAGTTCTCATCACAACAAGGGACAAGCATGTGCTTAGCAAAGGAGTTGATGCAATATATAAGGTTAAGGAATTGCAGTTCCACCAATGCCTTGAACTTTTCAGCTTGAATGCCTTCAACAAAAGCTTGCCTATAATGGGATATGAAGAACTAACAAGAAGGGCAGTTGTTTATGCAAAAGGAATTCCATTGGCTTCAAAAATTCTGGGTTCATATCTTCGTGGTAGAAGTGAAGTTGAATGGAATAGTGCCTTAAAAAACTTAAGAAGAGCCTCATGAAGATATTCAAAAGGTGTTGAGATTGAGTTATGACGGACTGAATCATGAAGAGAAGAAAATATTTCTAGACATTGCTTGCTTTTTTAAGGGAGAGTTGACCAAATCTGTAATTAGCTTATTAGATAGCTTTGGCTTCGATGGAGATATTGGTATAAGAACACTTCATGACAAGGCTCTCATAGAAGTCTATGGTTTATGTGTAAAAATGCATGATTTGATACAAGAAATGGGTTTACAATTGTTCGTGAAGAGTCTATTGATGAACCTGAAAGACGTAGCAGATTATGTAATTTTGAAGAAATTTACGATATTTTAGCTAATAACATGGTAAGAAATTCATACTTTCTTTTCTAACCTATATACTTGTTACTTTATGAATAATGTGAATGTAATTATGATATAATTTACTTACTATGGTTTCTTTATTCTCTTTTTTAAGGGATCGAAGAGAGTTGAAGGAATAAAGTTGGATGTCTCTCAAATTAGAGATCTATATTTGGAAGCGGACATTTTCAAGAAGATGCCTAATATGAGATTTCTCAAACTTTATTCTGACAGTGGCTCAAGTCATGTGCACCTTCCAGAAGGTCTCAAATTTCTTTTCTAATAAGATGAGGTATCTAGAGTGGTGTGGATTCCCACTTAAATCTCTGCCGTCCACTCTTTGTCCTGAAAAACTTGTTAAGCTCTGCATGCCCAATAGCCATCTACAAAAGCTTTGGAACGGAGTGTGTGTATGTATATAACCTTGTTTGTGTTTCATATTTTTCATTCAATTGAAACTTGGTGGTGATCTCATTTGAATTGTCTATTTTGTTGGTATAGGATTTGTGAGCTTAAAGAAATAGACCTTAGTGGTTCCAAACAACTACAAGAGCTGCCCAATCTCTCCAAATGCTTGAATCTCAAAGTGGTACAACTGAGGCAGTGCGAAAGTTTGTGCTTTATTCATTCCTCGATCTTGTCTCTCCACTCAATTGTTGTGTTGAACTTATTTGGATGCACGAAACTTAAGGGTCTAAAAAGTGAATTACTTTTAAGATCTCTGCGACATATTAATGTGATTGAGTGCAAGAATCTCAAGGAGTTCTCGGTGTCATCTGATGAACTGAGAGAATTGGATTTAGTTAACACAGGAATCGAAATCTTGCACCCCTCTGTATGGCATTCAAGAAGATTGGAAATGCTCTCTCTTGGTAGACTTGTGAACCTTCCAACCAATTACCGTGCTTGACAAGTTTGACGTTTCTTGGGCTTTTCGATTGTAAAATCATTGATGATTTGAAGCTACATCTCTTATTTGATAGCATGTTGTCTTTAAGACAAGTGGTCCTGGATCGGTGCGGTAACATAATTGGACTCCCCAATAATACTAAGCATCTTTTAGGATTGAAATTTCTTAGCATATGGGATTGCAGGAGGCTTCGTTCTTTACCAGAATTGCCGCCATCCATTGCAAAGCTAGATGCCCATGATTGCAAGTCGTTGGAAATTGTGTCAAGTTGGAGAACATCAAGTGGTGGCCCAATAGGGTTCTTATTCAAGAATTGTGTGCAACTGAGTGAGCAATCGCTTCATAATATCATGGAGGCTGCTGCCTATTCTATGACTTATTGTGTCTTGCATAAAAATGAGAATTAGGGATTGTTGTTCGATTGTGTTTCCGGAAGCAGAGTAACAGAGTGGATCAAATACAGGGCAGCACAAAGCTCCGTAACTGTTGAACTCTCTCAGATTTCAGACTTAACGGATTTCTTCTTCTGCGTTGTACTTAAAGTTCGCTCAGAATTAATTGTCGAATTCAATATTTGATGTGCACATGCTACTTGGAAGGTTTTGATGCGGCAGTTTCAAAACATGAAGTGTTTTTACCAGATGTGAAATCTGATCATGTTTTTATGTGAAATGATGACTTAGCATGTAAAAGGATAGTGGATGAAAGTAGAAGAAGAATTCAACAGTTGTTCACTAACATAAAGCTTCGCTTTGAATTCTCTGCTGGACATCGTTGGTGTAACGAGCCAATGATCCCCGACGAAAGCAAGTTAATGATCCAAGAATGCGGGGTGTGGCCAGTATCCGTCTCAGAATGTCTGAATTTGTTGAGCAAATGGAAATAGGGAGGAAAAGGAAGAGGCCTCCCGATGTTGAAGAGCAACAACCACCGCCTCACTTTTAAAAAAATGGAGCTTGATGAAGGTACACATCCAACACTTATAGAGAGGATATAATCTGAATTCCCTTCTTTATTCTTTAGGCAAGTAATCTCTCTCTCTCATTGTTTTTCTCTCTATTAGGCTTCTATTTTTGCATTTTCCTCGTGAACGGTGTTTATATAAATAAGGATTCGAAAATCTATTTTGAACCCAAAAAAAGAAACTAATAAAGCAAGTGAGATTGTCTTTTACACACTAAGCTATTTTTTTTTATACCTGAACAATCTCATTCTAATTAAACTAGGCTTTAATGTAAGATTCCTAAACTTCTAGATAAGTTTAATTGAGGGAGACTAGTTAAAGTGGTTCATAGGTACTCTTGAAGGATTTGAAAGATGAGAAGAAGAAATAAGGAGAAATACTTTAAAATAGAGTATTATATGATTAAATAGCTTAGCTAGCATTGGTCAAAGCATTGTATTACAACATGCATTGGTCAACATTGTAAGTGGCGTTAAAATTAGGGGAAGAAAATTGAACAAATTTAGGGTTTGAGGAATTTTTTTGAAGCTTGCTTGCATAAGCTCACTTCTCCTAATGTTTTCCAATTGTTTGGTCTCCTTACCGGGTTTCTATTTTTGCATTTTATTTTTCTCACAAACTAAGAACAAGTGTTTATCATTTAATTTGTTTATCAGATTGTGTTGGACATGAAAGTGTGTGGTAAATGGCTTGAAATCACAAACAGATCGAACCTGCAACTTTCTACTTGTAAAAAAAAAATTATGCCACTGGGTTACAATGTAATTAGCATTATTTTACTTATATGATATTAAGAAAATTGAACTTTTTCTACATCAAATGAAGAATCTCATTCTTAGACGCATTTTGTTTAGATTCCTCTTAAAGTTTGCAAGTGCATTTTGTTATGGCATATTAAATTCTGAGGTTAGAATTCATTCAGTGAATTTATTTTTCTTTGTTTCTTTTTTCTCTTGATGGAAGTGATTCTTGATTCTTTGAAAGCAGATTGTCTTCAATCGTAGATTCTGATTAAAAAAAAAATGGAAATGCATATATACTATTTTATGCACTACAATTATTATAGCAACATGCAAATTGCAATGTAAGAATCAAAATAATCAATAAAGCCTACCTAACATTGTTCTTTTTCAACTTTTAATACTTTATCTAACTCTATTTGCAGGATTTGTGTTTTGCGAAATATGACTCAGGATCTCCAATATTTTAATGGAGTGATTAGCAGGTTATCATTATAATGAGAATATTCTTCTTCTTTTTCTCTCTTGTTTCAGGATTTGTGTCTTCTTCTTTTGTCACCCTCTCACTTTGTTTAGGGGTCACCCTCTTACAAGGGAAGTCTCAGATAAGGAAAAAGAGAAGCGTGAGGAGAAATTGAAATTGAATTGTGTGAAAGAGAAATGTATGTTTGGTGGTTACTAGCACGCTTTATGGACATATTCTGGTGTGGTTGGGTTGTTTTATTGATAATTTGAAGTAACACATATTTATATGATTTTACACAAGTATTTAAGGATGCAAACAACTCAATTGAGGATGTTGTAGACTTGGTCTTCGGATTTTGTCAAATTGACGTGTTTTCCGTCGAAGATGTTGCAGACATAAGTAGTATCTGATGGTTGTTATTATCGGCAAAGCTTTCTATTTTAATTTGATAAAAGAGAGACAAGTACTGTTTATTTTATCTCTCATCACATTATAATTTCATTCTTGTTTTTATTTTTATATTATTTTTTTAAGGACATGGGATATTTCCAAGACTATAAATCAACAGTTGTAAGCTGTGGTTTTAATCGCATCCTCTCCCCACTATTTCCACATAATTTAGATTCTTCTCCATATTTTCTCTTCTAGATTTTTATCCCCTCTAATAGAAGCTACGATGGCGGAAAAATCGGAAATTTTCAGAGCAATGGAGAAACTAATTAAATGGTGCTGATATAAGACTAGAATCAACTACGAGGATGTTACAATATTGCCTCAAATGAATAACTGATTGTTATCATATGATGCAGAACTCAACATGGAATCCTTAGTAGTTTGAACCCTTTTATTATCATCTGCTAGTACCAACTCACGGTTTCAAGGGAGACATAAATATATAACAATGATTTTGAATACACAAATAATTATCATGCTATTATTTTAAAAATTAGAACAAAACGTGGAAACAAGTAATTGAAGATAATAAATATTTGTTAAAAAATCGTTTGCCACATGGAACAGAAGACAATTCCATGAAACGATCATACAGGTGCAGCTTTCAGGGAAAGAAAATCTGATTTTGTTCGTATAGAAGTCTGGTTGTATGTTGTTGTTAGGATTTTGAAGCATGGCCAATGAGGTTACCCCTGACAGCACAAGAAGAGTTTTGCAGCCACCATTTTGTCCAAACAAAATATCAGTGTCTAATCTGTCCCCAACCATGCAAATCTGTGACTTCTGAATTCCAAATCTGTCATTTGGGGATATCAGATCAGATTCAGGGCAAACTTCTTGAGCAAAATGCCAAGTTCTTTCATCCACACATCAAGTGGGAAAACCATATTTGAGGTACTTATACCTTCTCTCAATTTTTAATTTGATACCCATGTGTTTTTTTCCTCTTAATTAAATCATTTAATTTTTTCTTTTTAGCAAGATTTGCTCTTGTAATTTTGTTCTATTAGTATTTTCAGTCTATATGCAAGAGTTAACGATATTAATAAAACAAAATTAAAGATTTAATTAAGAAAAAGTACCAATTGAAAATTGAAAAAAAAATATAAGTACCTCCAAGGGTTTTTCCTATGGGAAATATAAAAGCTTACTTGTTAGCTAAGTAGTCCATCATAAAGTGGAGGGCTTCCAACCACCAGCGGCTCACGTTGTGTAGATCCACTAAGAGCACCACCATAGATCCCCCACCTAAAATCAATCAGATATCATATACAATTATTGGAGCATTAGATAGATTAACTCTGGGGAAAAATATCAGGCAATTTCATATTTATAAGGAAGTTTTAATGATGTCTACACTGAAACTTAAAAGTACTGCTCAACATGATAAGTGACACATAACAAATATGCCATGCAATTGAATCATTTGAAACTTTCTCTATCTCGTAGTCTATTGGCCAGCTCAGAACCAGTTTATTTCGCCGTTTGTTCAACATGAATTTTCGCTTGGTGTTATTAAAAGGAAAATCCAAGACGCTGCATAATTAGATTTGCAATATCATTTGTAAACACAGTAAGAGGAAAGATGGTTTAACCTGCCCATTCTTGAGCATCCGTGAGATGAGTAACAGCATCGCGGTTTGTTTGCAATGAACAGACATCCAGGATTTTCACGTATGCAAAGTGTTCCGTACCTTTAATCATGACGAAAGTGCTTTTATTATGAGGATAAAAAATATCTATTAAGTACTACCATTGCATAATGGCACAATGCTCAATTCTACAATACTTTGTTAAACACTCCAACTCACATAATGGTCCCTAAGGTGACTGATGCTCCTTACCTTCATGTAAGAAAAACATATCACAAATGTCTT